CGCGGGATTGCGCCACGATGGAGTTCCGGACGGTCCTGGGATAGGGCAGGGTCCCGGACGGGGTCCTGAGCCAGGACGGGGTCCGGACGGGGTCCCGGACGGGGTCCTGAGCTGGGACGGGGTCCGCATGGGATCCGGGACGCCGTCCTGGCTCAGATGTAGTGCGAATATGCGCGGAGCTGGTGTCAATGATGATGGCACCATCCGCCAGGATGGTATCACCACTCAGGACGCCGTCCCGGACGCCGTCCGGGACGGCGTCCGAAGGGATGACATCCAGGACGGGGTCCCGGACGCCGTCCTCGTCAGCCCGGACGGCGTCCGGACTGCCGTCCTGGCACCCCTTGGTGTGAATGTTCACCTGCACAGTTGGTGGCGTGGTCCGCAATGCATCAGGACGCCGTCCGGGACGCCGTCCTGGCTCCGGACCCCGTCCTAGGTGGCATGGTGGCATTAGGACCCCGTCCCGGACGCGGTCCTGGACGCCAGGACCTGGTCCTGAAAATACCCCGTTCTACTAGTGAATTGTGCCACACCGTGAATTTCACTAAGAGGTCACTGACACATCTTCCCTAAACAAAGTAACCTGAGAGCTCCTACGCAATAGATGATAGTGGCCCTTTTCCATGGTATGTGGGGTTCTTGAACAAAAGAAAGACAGCATGCATGGGAAGCCATTGAGCTCATAGACGACGGAATGGTGATTGTTGGTATTTTTCTTGCTACATCAGCAAGCAGCGGATTCTACCTGACCGCAAATGTCAAACAACATGACTTTAGTCAATACGCCCGGTTTGTTGCCTTGTTACGTAAAGACGAATACTCGTGATGATGGCCATGACCTGGCTCTTCTTACAATGCCCAAATTGGGCAGCTGGGACGAAAAGACTCCAGACGGCTCAAAATCCAGTGACACTCAATGCTCCCAGAGCTGGTTGCATTGCAGTTTGCATCTCTATCATCTCTATTTTTATCCTTAGTACAGCGACAACAACACACTAAACGAATACCGTATCAAGATATCAAATTTTCCTTTCAGACTATCTGCCTCCAATGGTGAACTTGTATCTGTCTGTTGGGAATACAAAATCGATAACACTGAAACAAATTTTTCGTGTCAACATCGAATGTGCGAACAGAAATTGCGAGTCTGGTCACCAAAATGTGTAAAGCTTTGCTGTAGAGTCCCGATCTCGGTGGACGTCGCTGAATTTCCCCGTGCGTCCACAGAGATTTGGTTCGACCGTAGAGCAACCGTAGACCGTTCAACGCGTCGGGTGGGTGGGTGGGTGGGGGGTGGGGGGAGCGGCGACGTCGCCGCCCCGTTGCCCGTGGCGTCGATGGGAGAACGAGAGCCTACGACCCTCCATTTTCCCCTTGCGACAAATCCCGCCTAGGCTTCTGACTCCCAGCCATCTTTCCAGCCCTTTCGGCGACGTCTACGGGGGTTGCGTCGCCCTACAGCGACGTTGCTGGAGGTCGGGCCTTTTCTCAAATTTGTTGATCATTCTTGCTATTGCTCATAGCAGCTTCTCCTTCTGAGACGGGTCCAACCCCAAACGAATGCTGGACTGCCACCTTGCTCAATGACCTGTGTTTTGGGGGCACCCGACAATATCCCAGCGATGGGCACCTCGAATGCCCCTTCCACGCTGGCCCAGCTGCACTAGCAGAAACAGGACCAAATAACACTTTTTGCGAGCACATATATGTGCATTTCATCAGCGTTCCGCACATTAACCTAATGTTTTTGAAAAACACGGAAATAACCCAAACCCGTAAAATGTGTACACGTTTGAACACGTGTTATTTTGGCAATTTTTCCTTGTGCTGCTTGCATCACCAGAAGGCACCACCATCTTGGCGGCGTCCTCTGCGATGCCATTTAAACAACGAGTGGCGGTTGCACAGGGGTTGCGACGGCATAAAAGCAATTGCAATGGCGTCGATTAGTGCCAATGAAAATAAACGCCATCGTATTTGGTATCGCCAAAAATGTTTGCAACAGGTGTGTTCAGACAACTAGTGGTCTTCACAGATTACTATCCTGCGCGGTGGAACCGCATCGCTGTTGTCGGTCTTGGTATTTACGATTATTTACGCCAAAAGATGGTTTTTACGTGTTCGCGCGTGAATACCTGTGAAAATGCATAAAAATGGCCCCTGTGTACTTAAGGACAGTGCATACAGCTCCAGGGAGTCCGGGGAGTGGCAGCTATGCGCGCTGAAATGTGCAGAAAGCGATATTTTGCTCGACTTTGTCGTGGCATTGCCAAGGACGAGGTGGAAACTGTGGTGCCGGTGGTGGAGAGTTGGAAGGTTGATCATCGTTTGGGACATGATCATTAATCTGGGGTTTTCGACGACCCGTAAATATCGCCGCGAAAATGGCCGTTTCTCTATTTACTCGTTTTTGTGCGTAAAAACGTAAAGGTTAAATGGAGCTGAAAACGCAATAACCAAGCCTGGCTACTGTAGTCAGACTGGCTTCAGCGGCCTCTGTTAAGCCTGCATCTCAAACAGTTTGGCATCATGGCCGTGCAGACCTCCGTTTCCATGTTGGATTGAAATGCCGCCCCGTACACCCACAAAACGCAAATTTTGCGCAATTTATTATAATAGATTATAACCACACTAATTAGTGTGGCTGCATTGGATGAAATCGCATTGTCTTGGCCTTATGTTTTGTGATTGTTCAGCACAACTGGTGGGAAATGTCACCAAATAGATGCTCAAAGGAATACGCCACAAGTGGTACCACCTGGCGTCCCGCCCGTTACCGCCCATCCCTGGCGGCGACTGTTTATATTTCGAATCTGTCTGGTGCTTCAACTCCTCTCCGCGGGGAGTCCGGAAAATCCATTTTAATCCATAAACATCTATGTATCGCAAAAATAAATCAATACAGAATTTAATTGTGGATGGAACAGTGCAGCATCAGGTGCTTACAGGCGATCACATGTGATCATCGGCACCGGCACCTGCCCACTGACAACGGCTGTTCATGTCGCACAATCTTGGATTCAGAAATAAAGAAAGAGCTGTCAATTTGAGGGAGATTTAGAAAACAAGGAATGTTTGTTTCAATTGAGCTAAATTGCAATAAATCGTGTAAAGTAAATAGCTTTGTCAGTGGAGCAAATGCCGTCGAACCGGATGATGTCTTGTGGCATCGGAAGGTAGCGGGTAACGACCATTTCATATTTTGTCATGTTCTTAATGACATTTTGCAACACTTGGTCTGTCACCTACTAGGTGACACCTAGCCAATGAATTGCTGTTCGGGATCCGGAGTATATAATAGAGAGAAATGCAAAAAGTTGAACAAACTTTCAAATGGAATGGCAAAAAGAAGTAGAATCAAAACTTACTGATAGCACAGCATTCCCAGCCAATGCGACCTCGCAGGCCAAGTGCTACACACCAAAGAATACATAACGGGCATCCAAAACACAGATATGGGGTCGGCAACGTTGCCAACTGGTTAGGCGGCACATTTTCCCGCAAATTCCTCACCACCTGCTTTTCTGACATCAGCACCAGGCCTTATCAAGCTAACCGTGCTAGCTGCCTGATGGACGCCCTTGCAGAGTTCCCGGAGGTCGAGGAGCTATCGGGAACGCCCTTGAAACATCGTATTACGTAACACGTATGCGCCGCTTCTGAAACGTTTCCCAATGAGCATCGACTTGGAGCGGGGCAGAAGCGTAACGTTGCGAGTCGCGCCTGCATGGGAATGGGAGAATGCGATTCCTGTACCACCCAATAACACCCAGGCGCTCCCCTGGCATCGAACGGAGTGCCGCCTGCGCCACAGCTCCTGAGCACTCAAATCAGTGCGCAGCTCCCCATCGAGTCAGAGTTGGGTGGTTGCGGAACGGTGCGAGTCGCGCCCTCACGGAACGAAACCGAGAAAAAGAAAAAAATGGATCCCGTACTTAACATCCAGGCCACCTCGCTGGCAGCCAATCAGGTACCACTTGCCCCACACCTCCGCTATCGCCGTGGAACAAGGCGGGAGCGTGACGTTGCGAGTCGCGCCATCATGGGATGGAAAAGAAAAGAAAACGCGACTCCCGTACTTAACGTCCCGGTGGCCAATGAGGTACCACCTGCCCCGCAGCTCCCCAATCAGCGAAGGACAAGCCCGGGGAGGTACGCCCCCCGCCAAGGATAAAAACCCGCTGAGCGGTCCCGGCGCCCTGCATAAATTACCCGGCACCCGGTCCCCACAGACCGGCGCCCGGAACGCACTACACCCCAAGTCCGACCAACAAACAGCCCCTCCCATCAAAGGCCCTCGTTCTGGAGGCTCAGCGGTCGTTTGGGCGTCCTGTGGGCGCCAAACGCAGTGCCTCACGGCCCATCAATGCCCTTAGTCAACCTTTCCCCCCCTTAATCCCACCGGCTGGCGAGACCGGTCACGCGCGCTCCTTTTCCCTTGGCGCCCGGCTGAGAAAGGAACGCAGCGGGCCGCCTGGGTACCTTGTGGGCGTCGCGGGTTGGTGTGGCCCCTTTTCGCTGCCCAAGGGAGGCCCGCGGGGCGCGGTCGGTGCCCAGGGGCCCCGCGACAGGGGCGCCGATCGGGCGGAGTGGTTGCGACATTCGCACGAGGAACCGCGGCTCGTACTTTTTTCCTCGTGGGTTTTTTCCTCGGCGGGGCGCCCGGGAGGTGCGGATCGGGCCGGAGGCGATGGCCTCGTCCGCGCGGCGGGGATTGGCGTGATGGGCGTTGGCCGGTGGAGAGGCCGGGCGGAGAGCGGCGAACGCGGATAGCGGGAGAGCCCCAAGGGACGGGGCCTTGAGACTGAGGAACCGGAGGGCGCCAGGGGGGTGGCCCGAACGCGCGAGGCCGGTTTTCCGTCCTCCCTGAGGCTCTGAGCGAGGCCGGCGACCGCTTATCGGTACTTGAGGGGCCTTGCTTGGCCGTGCGGCCCGCTTGGGCGCAAATATTGTCCGCGGATTCGCGATTCTGTGCTCCAGGGAGCTCTGAGAGCGTCATGGCGGTCGAGACCGCGATGGCCGTGGAGGCGGGGGGGGAGCTGTGGGAGGGCGGCGGGGAGCTGCTGAACAAGCACCTGGACGAGTACGGCCGCACGTGTCGAGAGGTGGCCTGCCGGCTGGTGGCAGTGTGGAACGACATGGGGCTGGACGCCAGCGACCAGGGGCAGGAGCTGGCGGACGTGACGGCGTCGATCCTGGGCGTCTGGAACAGCGCGCTGCAGCGCGCGGACGAGGGGCGGGCGATCCTGGACAGCCAGGTGGCGATGGCCAGGGCGGAAATCGCTCGAATCGCCGCGCAGCTGGCGGACGAGGATGCGGAGGGAGAGAGCAAGGCGGAGAATGTGTCTTGTGCTCCTGAGGAGGAAGATGACTCGCATGATTGTGAGGGAAAGTCGCTGAAGGCGCAATACGAGGCGCTGCTGGCTGAGCTGGAGGGCTGGCGCGGCCGGCGGGCGGAGAGGGCGGCCGAGTTCGGCGGCGTGCTGCGCGAGCTGCGGCGCGTGCGCGCGAGGCTGGGCCAGCCGCTGCCGGCCAGCGTGCCCGCCGAGGGGCAGCAGGTGAGCCTCGGGGGCGGGGGGCGGGCGGCGGGCGTCTCAATTTCGGACTCTGAGAGCTTTCCGCGGCGCTAGGGTTGTTCTCGCGCGAGGGAGGGGGGGCGGTCGCTGATCGCGACCGGGTATTCTGATTGATCAGCCAGCAAGGGTGGCAAGGGGGGTCGACATGGCTGTGTTTGTGTTGGCCCTCCCGAGCTGGCGGCTCACAATTTCTGCGAGAGCCAGTGAGGTGCGTGTTGTGGTGGGCGTGCGCCGGTGGGGGTGGGGGTGAGAGTGGGGGGCATGGGGCGGCATGGGGTGGCATGGGGCGGCATGGGCTTGGCGAGGGGTGGGACTGGGGACTCGCGCTTCGCGGCCCCCCGTTCTGGAGAGTGGGCGTTATCGTCTGCGCGGCGGGTGTGGCCGTTGCCCCGGGGCGGCCGTCGCGCCCTTGGGCCAACAGATCCAAGGCATCCGACCGCTCGCGCTTGGCCGTCGCTGACAGCTTAGTAGTTAGCGCGCCCACTTGCGCAAACTACTGCGGTGACTGATTTTTTAAAGGGAAAAGGCCGGTGGAGCGATGCGGCAGATGCGCCAGATCCAACAGTGCAATGATGCGCGTGCGCGGATCGAGTCGCCGATCCAGAGTGGCCATGTGGGCATGTGGTGCGTGCGAGTGTTGCGGTGTTGGGCCACCATGTGCTGCGTGCCCGCTGTTTTGGGCCTGACTCGGTGCCGGTACGGGGCCGGGCGTGCGCGTAACCGGCACCAAACTGCAACCAAACGCTGGATAGGGCCAAGCCCACCTGTCTCGGTCCTGGTAACCCCATCTCGACCAATTCCAGCCTTGGCGTTCTCTATCTTTTGCCTAATCTTAGCACTGTCTAAGACGACACCAGGACTCGGGTGGGTGTACGATTTATTTCCGAAGTTCTGATATTGTCCCAGGCTGGGAGGTGACGTACCTGCACGATTATGCCTGGGTGGTTGATTGATTAGTCAAAATTGATGCCATGTTGAACTCCATATTTTGCACAAAGTCTGTGCTCCTTTTCTTGTGCAAGTCTATTCCCTGTGGCCCAACCCGAGCTGGAGGGCGGTTTGGACCTAGGCAGCTTGGGATGCACGTCCGCCTGTTCTGTTTTCAGGTCCCACGTTCTTCGTCTTGTTGGCAGGCATGGGACAGGGATGCCTTGTGTGTGCCTGCTAGCGATTTGAGTAACTGACTGCCACTATTACATTTGGCATTGTTCAGCATGACATTGTGTCCCTTGCTGTTTCTGTGCCTGGGGTGATAGAAAATCAGCAAAGTCCTGAATGGCATAAGTAATATTTTGCCCGACAATGAAGTGTGGGAGCACATCACACGAGGGGTGTCATAGATGATGCCACTGTCACCAGTTGCATGATGGTCGTGTATGTTCTTTTCTGTCTCTGTCCATGTACCCTTACTCATCTCTCGCTTAACTGTTTCGGGATCGTCACAACTGCGCGTTCAACTCGCCCACGCTGTGAATGGAGTGTTGAAAAATGCTGGGCTGGAAGCTGATGCAGTCACCATCCAACGGAAAGGTACCTTCGTCAATCTCTGTCTTCTGTTTTGTGTGGCCCAAGAATGCAGTGCGTGTTTGTGCGGGGCTCACAACACTGATCAAGGGCTTCTGTCGTGCGGTCTCAGCTGCAGGACATCTCGAGGAAGCACCTCGAGTGGTTGGGCTACGAGCTGTCTCAGAGCAACATCGACCTGCAGCGCCGCGAGCGCGAGCTGGAGGGCCACCTAAGCCGGCTGCGCAAGATATGCTTCGAGCTGGGGGAGGACGATGTTGAGATCGCCTCCAGCGTGCACCCCACCCTCAAGTACTACCCCCAGCTGCTGCCAAACCTGTCCGCCTTCCGGCCCTCATACTGCGCCCCGCTGGACCCCGACGACAAGATGCCCGACGGCGTGGACCTCAGCGTGAGCGACTCCACGCTGTCCGACCTGGAGCTCAAGATCAGCGAGATGAAGAATGTCAAGGTGGTGAGGCAGCAGCAGGCGCTGGAGATGACGGACATACTGAGGAACCTGTGGACGGCCCTGGACGTGCCACAGAACGATGTGGACAGGGGGATCTTTACGCGGCTGATGGAGGGTCCTTCCAGGCTGCACCTCAAGTCGCTGGAGAGGTGCATGAAGGAGGTGAACAGACTGGAGCAGGAGCAGGCCAAGCTGCTGCTGGGGCTGATAGCCGCCAAGAAGAGCGAGCTGGAGGCCCTGTGCATGGAGACCCGGCTGGCGATGCCGGACCTCTCCCCCCTGCTCCCGGCCGAGATGGACGAGAGCTCGCCCCCCAGCTGCGGCCAGATCGCTGACAACCTGGCGAAGCTGGTGCGGATGGTGGCAGAGGTGAATCTAATGGCGGAGAAAAGGGTGGGCATTGTAAAGATGATAACAGACCTGGAGGCCGTGCTGGACGAGGTGATGTGGCTGATGGAGTACGAGAACGACCGGAGCAGGTATCACGGGCGCGGGCGGGACGCCAACCAGAAGCTGCAGCGCGCGCTGCGGGTGGGCAAGATCCGCGACAAGCTGCCCGAGAAGGTGAAGCGCCTGCAGGAGCTGATCCTGGCCTGGGAGCAGGGCGAGGGCCAGCCCTTCATGTTCGACAGCAAGAACTACAGGGTGGAGGTTTTGGACCGCGTGGTGGCGGACCTGGAGCGCCACGCAGCAAGGGAGGCCATGGGGCCGGACTACAAACCCGATCTCCCGACAAGGCGGGCCGCATCCCGCCAGGGATCCCTGGGGCGGTCCAACAGCGCGCGGTGCCGAAGCAGCATGGACATGCGCGGGCGGGAAGCGTCTCGGGACGCCCCGAGCCGGGCGGGCAGCTGCCGATCGGCGAGGAGCGTGGACGCCGTCCGGCGCAGCGAGGCGCCGAGCCGGTCCTCAAGCGTCGGGGCCCGCCTGACCAAGATGGGCAGGTCGGCCGGCAGCACGGACTCCCAGCGCGGGGATCTGAGGCGCAGCGCGAGCGTGCCGAAGACGTACCTGCAGAGGCGGGACGCCACACCGGTGCCGAGGACCGGCAGCAGCAGCTTCAGGTCCACGCCCCGCATTACGCCGAGATCGTCCTCCGGCCCTGCTCCGCCCGTCAGGAACGGATCAACGACGATGCGCAGCAGGTCGGCCAGCAGGGATGCCAGCAGGCATGTCCCGGAGACGGTGCCGGAGAGGAGGCGCATTTCGGACGAGTCCGGACGGCTGCTGCTGCGCAAGGGGACAGCGGCGGCCAAGGGCAAGTCTGGCGCTTCGCAGAGCGCCAGGGCGCACGTGAACGCGGGCTGCAAGACCGAGATGGGCGAGCCCAGGCGGGGGGCCGGCGCAGGCCGGCACTCGAGGTCGGCATCCGCCACGGCGCTGCGCACGGCGTACAATCCTCTGCAGGACCGGCTGAACAAGCTGCTGCAGGGATCGGAGCCCTGCGTGGCGGCGCCTGCCAAGCTGGGCGCGCGCCGGCCTGCCAGCCCGCAGCTGCCGGTGAGCTCGAGCAGCGGCGAAGGGGACGATCGGCGGATGGTCTCGTCGTCATCGTCGGGATCCGGGGGTGCGATTGGGGTTGGGTACTACAAGGAGCCCGCAGATGGCGTGGGCAGCTGGTACTACGGCAAGGACGAAACGGTGGGCTTCTACGACAAGGAGAAGGAGGGTGGTGTCGCTGAAGCGGCCACCAAGCCGGCGCCCCGCAAGAAGACGCCCAGGAAGGGGGCGAGGAAGAGCGCTGCCAAGCCGCCCCTTAAGGCCAAGAGCCCGAGATCAAGGGAGGGCCCGCGGGCCTCTGCGCGGGCGCCCCACTGGCGGCGGGTGTTCACCAACGGGTGCTACCTGGAGTCGCCCCTGTCGTCGGACCAGGAGGAAGTGGGGGAGTCGGAGGACTGCAGCGAGCTGACGGTGGTGCCGGACGACTCTTCCTACTCAGGAGGCCACGACGCCGCGGAGGGTCCCTGCGCCAAGGACGCCTTCATGCGCAAGGACTCCTTCATCGCCAAGAAGATCTCGCACGACCGGAAGGACAGCGACTACCTGATGAACGGACGGCTGAGCGTTTGAAGACACAACGCACACACAACACACGCAACACACACGCGCGCGGAAAATCGCGTGGGGACGACTTTCGCGCCGCGAGATGTCGGAATTGCCTCTTTCGGGTCGGCAGGGAGCGCGTCGGCCCGGGAGCGGGGAAGGTGGCCGGTGTCCACGGGGGCGCCTCTGGGGCGCCGGGCTCCAGAGCCCGGCGGCCCGAGCCTCGCGGAGGGCCCACCGCTCGCAGCAAGGACCGTCGGTGGCGCGAGCGGGAGGTGGACGGGGGATTAGGAAGAAAATCATATTGTTTTTTTATTACTTGCACCATAGATATGGGGTTAATTATTAGCCGCGGCTGCGCCCAATTGTTCCTCTGGGGTGGTGTCGTATTTGTCCGCTAGTATATTTGAGAGCGCGACCCAGCAGGTGCTCTTGACTACATTGTCCATAATGGGGCGTATGTAGGCGAATCACCCTCTTCCCTTGTTAGTTGGTGGGCACCTCCCAAGGGTTTTTGCACCGAGTTTCGGGGCCAGGGCCACTGTTTAATTTGTATTTGGTGTATGGGCGAAGGGGAGGGGGCAGGCGGGCTCGAGCTTCGCAGGCAGCTGGATGTCTTGGCGCATTGTGCGAGGAGGAAACGAATGGTTTCACCATTTATCGAGCGCGAATTCTGTGTTGTAATGGAATGATGTGATTATGAGGCTCAGGTGGCGAAAGACGATCAATTGATTGGAAGATGTCGATTGATGGGAGCGGAGTCGATTGATCGGCGGATCGGTTGATTGGAACAGAGAGTTTCGGGCAATGTCGGGCCCGTGGGCAGGGGGCCTCAGGCTGGTTCATAAACGTGCTGTGGAAAGGGGACACGGACGTCCTGAGGAAATAAGGCGGCTTCCGGGCAGGCGGGCGGGTGGGGGTTTGGGGTGGGGCTGAGGCCGGAGGGCGTGCGGTGTATCAGCAAGAGAGCTAATTCAGGGACGCTCGGACGATGTCGTGTCCAACGTGCACTTCGCAGACCGTTTGTAATCCATTATTCCTCGTTCAGGTTGTGTCTCTGGCCACGGCCTTCACCCCTTCCTGGCCAAAAACAAACGACGCCGCCCAAAGCGAGGCAAGTGTCCGCAGAAGGTGCACACACAAACGGAGCCTTCCCGGAGGCAGGCTTCTGCGTTCCCCTCGTGCGCAACTCCTGCCCTGCATGGCGACTGTTGAGTCCAGAGTGCAACGAGAACAAACTTGCAATCTGGCATCCGCACAGGCATTCAAAAAGCTGCAGAGCGCGGGGGCGCACTCGGGAAATCGTGTGACCGTATTGTGTCGTCCGTTGAACTGCCACTGGCCACAAGGTCGGGGATCCGATCTGTCCCCGTCCGCCTGTGGACTGTGGCATTGCATCCACACAAGATTTGTGGCTCTAGTTGTGGTGGGACGTGGTCTGACCTCAGCCATCGACTTGGCGTTGAGAATGGCAAAATGGCGTGCGTGTGACGACCACTCAGGTGCGGGTGGTAGCGATGGCGGGGTGTGAACGCAGAGTATGCACTGCTCGAACCTAAAGTTCGTAGTCACCGGGTTTAGGATGTAGCGACTACTAACAAACAGAACTTCGTCACTCGATGCCGGGCGGTAAGTGCCCTCCTGCAGAGTTGCCAGCTCCAAGTTGGAGTCAGCGAGTCACCTCGCCCACCCCGTTGGAGTCGTGCAGGCACGTGAGTGTGCTCCCATGCCGCAGACTCGTGCCATTGCTTATCGCACCCCAGCATCGTCCTTGCAGCGCTTGCCAGCGCGCTTCTCACGTGAGAAGGTGTGAGAAGCGCGCTGGTTGCTCCTCTATCCTGTGAGGCTGGGCTTCGATTACGCACTCCGCTGCTAGGTGACGTCACTTCCCACCATTCGCTCACCGTCCCTCGGCTATCTCGTTGTGGGGCAGTTTCGGGAGATCCAGCGTCTCCCCCTCAATCTCTTTTTCCTGTTTGAATTGGCAATTTTTTCCCAACTAGGTCTCAAAGCACATGCTCAAAACGCCAGAAAGGCCACTTCAATTCGGACAATTTGCACGGCAAAAGGAAGTGAAGCGTGCCTTAACTCAGACAATGCCGGGCAAGAAATCTACAATTGGCCGCAATTGGACACGCAACAACTGTCGACTTCGCCTTGGTACTCGACCTTCACATGCAGCTGTATGCAGCACAACTGCATGGCGGGTGCCCATCGCTACCATTTTGTAAAGGTAATCGTCTTGATGATGGCAGGCGTCAGTTCATTACAGCACGAGCTGCTATATGCGTGGCAGCTTGCCACCTTGATGCATTGCCACGCAGTGCACTTTGCGGAGCACCGATACATCAAACAGTTACTGGCGGCCAATTTACGGTTGCTGGCCAATTCATTGCGTTAGCATCGACGATGCATCGGTGCTGGCGCCAAGTGCTTTTTACGGGTCAGCATGTGCCTTTTGCTGGATGATTTGGACGCCCCTGCCAACGTGCGTGGGCATGGAGCGTTAACAGAGCGCCAAATTGCCTCAGCGCAGCCTCGTGCCAAACCCAAGCCCCGCTAACGTGCTGGCTTCAGCCTGCGAGCTTGGAGGACCTGTCTTTGACAAGGGACAGGGATCCACCATCGCCGCGGTAAAGACGTTCCCGCGTAGGGCTGGGAGCGCTGGGGAGCCGATTCATAGCGTGGCTGGCTTCCCCCGTCACTCTTTAGTCACCCCCCAGTGTCGCCAAAAAGAACAGTGAACTATCTCAAAAAGGAACAGTCCACTGTCGCGAAAAGAAATATTCGCCTGCCAGGCACTGCAGATGGTGATGGGAAGGTGAAGAGAACCCAAAGCAAATTTGTGCAATGTACCGCAGTGGACCGCAGGTACGATTCTCGCCAGTCGCGGTAGGTTGCACAGGAATTTGTTTGACCGTCCTGAATCCTGCGGTCCACACGGGGCCCTGCAGGCCCTCCAACTTTGGGGCCTCGGCCGAGGGAAGGACCCCAAGATTCGGCGGCAGAAGACGTCAGGCGAGCGAACCGGCAGCCGAGCGTTGCCCTGCACAGCCCGGCAGAACCAGCCCACTCCTTCGCTGACCACAAGATTCGGCCGCGGATATTGGTGAGGGCTAAGATCGCGGACACGTGGCCTCGCGGGCGCCTCCGAATGCTCGCCTGCCGTGGCGCTGCTCTGTGACTTTGGGGCTCGCACCTTGCGGCCACGGCCGTGGATGCCACAAGAGTCTGCATCCCACTGAAGTCGATGCGCCTTTTAACTCAATGTCGCACCAGGCCATCGGAGGGACTGCGAACCGCCGGTATTTTGTGGGCAAGGGTGGAGCCAGCGATCCGTCTTGCCACCCCCGTTGGCGTCGTGCCTTCCCGATCTTATGCTCGCGTCGTCCTTGGACCGCCTGCCAGCGCGTTTTCACACAACCCTGTCGGTTGTCCGGTGGTGCTGGGTTTTGATTGCGAACTCCATTGCCCGGTTGCGTGGCGCCTCTTTCTTGCTCTCGCCGTTCATCCGTTTGCTGTGTCTTGTTCTCACAGCTTCGGGAGACGCGGCGCCCCCCCATTCGGCCTTCAAGCAGCGATTCACTGTCGCCTTCACTGGTACACATTTGGAAACGATCGGCACGGAAGCACGGACAGAGGCTTATGCCGCAGTCGATGAGGCAAATGAGAGAAAATCCGCCACTGGGCCTGTGCGCCTCACGTATCTGGCGTTGCAGTGGGGCTCCCATTAGGCCAGCTCTGCACTGAGGCCGCACTGATGCAAATTTAAGCCAAAAATACACGGCTGCACTATTTGTCTCCTTTCAAAAACACCGCTCAGCACTAGATGATGGGCAATCTTCACCAATTCAACCCTATTCAGTTTATCTGTTGAACTGGTGGAAACTGTGTGATTGGGGGCCAGTGTTTCTTGTGCAGGAGGGATGGCCACATCCAGTGGGGGCCAGCTCGGAGACTCTGAGCGGGTCAGGCCAGTGGCGCTTGGCAGGCTGCTGGCCGCCGATTTAGGTCGGGTACAGACGTGGAAGATGTCCGGGTGGAAGTCAGGCAAGAGGGAGGATGTCTTTCTGTTGCGGCGCGTCGATTTGTGGTGGATCTTGGCACAGCCGGGCAAAAGCTGCCCTACGGATGCAGGAGCATGGCGGAAAGGCCACCACATTGGATTAGTGCGGGGCCGGACTGTGGTGGATTTCAGTAATGAAGAAGCAGGCGAGTGGTTTGTGAAAGTTGGGGATGACTGCCAATACTTTAAAGCCAAGTCTGCCAGTGAGGCAGCCCTCTGGGTGGCTTCCCTGAAGCAGAGAGTGCAGCCATGGAATGATGAGCTGCGAGACCAAACAGCTGGAGAGCTTGTCGGAGATGCTGGCGAACGTGACAATGTGACAGGACACATCCATCTGAGTCATTTGACAGCTGCCCAGGAAATGGTCACTGCACTGAGTGCAGCTGCCAGTTTCACTAAAGACGTGCTGGGTACTCTGCCCATTGCTGGCCCTGCCCTATCGCTGCTGGGGTTTGCTTTGGAGGCAGTGAGTCGAGAAGCAGCTGATGTTGAAAGCATTCGCCCTGCAAGAGCGCTGCTGGAGGAAGTGACAAGGAGGACCATGGAAACGCTGCATAGAGCTGTGAAGCTGAATGATGAGGATTACAAGCGGGAGATTTTCAAAGTATTGGAGAAGATCGAAACTGCTGCTCGAATGCTTGAAAGGCACGGATACAGGTCGACAGCGGGGAGGTTCAAGCACGCCATTCTAAAAAGGGACACAGGTCCACTGGCTGCTGTGGATTTGCTGAAGCAGTGCAAAGACGATCTTAGCAAACTCCAGATCCACCAGCTGGCGATGCTCCAAATGACAGGTGAAGAGCGCACCACTGTTGTGGGGCTTGAGAGTGGGAGCACGAACTGAAAACGTTCTGCGCCGTGTTTTGCTTGACAATGCAATGTCCAGCTTTGCACCCAAGGACTTGCATTATTGTGGTACAAGCTACTTTGCCTGAAACTCATGAAAGCGGAAGTGGGTGTTGAAAGCTGGTGCTGGTGCATGTTGTGCTCTTGAAGATGGTGACTTTTTGTGGCATAACCAGCTAGCTGTTCTCCTTTTGTATTTGCCTTTCCAACACAGTGCTTTTGCTTCACCTGCTTGTGGCAATGTTCTGAAATGCAGTAGACAACGCCCATAGCAGCACCCATTCACTTCTGGACATCCAAGGGGAAAGGTGCAGCCTGGCCGTTCTTGTGTTTAGACTGCTGCATGCCAGTTCCCTGCAACCCCCAAATTTGAGACTGAAAAGAAAATGAGAGAAACAAGCATTGCTGCCTGAGTTGAAGACTCCATTTTTGTGGCAAGGCAGTGATGGAATCAATGAATGTCGCCTCCCATAAGGCATGGGTTTTGTTGCTCTTTCACTTCCTTGCTTGCATTGGATTGGCCCCTGGCACATTGTGGGTTTGTCATACAGTTCAGTAAGCAGCTTTTGAGCTGAGGTATTTCTTTGTCCGTGTATGCTCTGTTCTGTTTGAGTAGTCTCATTGCATGTGGTGTGCAGGGCTCGAGAATCCTAATGCTTTGGTGGCAAACCAACCAAAGCTCCCGTCAGAGGACAGTTTTGCACGCAGGAAGCTCTTACATACCCACATCCCGATTGCGCCAGACGCCGTTGCCCTCGAGGGTCAGCTATGTGCAGTCACAAACATGCTGCTTGAGAACAAAACGAAATATGTTGTTGTTTGGGGGATGGGAGGCATAGGGAAAACGACACTAGCACATGCCCTGATTAATGACAACAGAATTGTGGCCAGTTTCAAAAAGCGTGTATTTGTGACAATTGCCCAAAATCCCAATATCACGAGGTGCCAGAAACAAATCTGGAATGCCGTCATGGATTCTGAACATGACGTGCAATTCACCAATGCTGAGGATGGCAAGTGGCGACTGCGAACTGCACTAAAGGACGAAGCTGTGTTTGTTGTTCTGGATGACGTGTGGGACAAGGGCTTTGTTGCGCACTTTGATGTTGTGTCTGCAAAGAGTCGGGTCCTCATCACCTCGCGAAGTGGCGATGTGGCGACCAGTGTGGAAGCAAGGCGCTATGCGGCAGTTGGGTTAGGTGAGGTCGATTCGATGCGTCTCTTCTGTAAGAAAGCATTTGCGACTGGGCAACCTTTGAGGTGGCAGTCTCTGTATGTGAAGGACATTGTGCAGGAATGCGGGGGACTCCCTCTTGCGCTGGAGGTTATGGGTGCAGAAGCTAGGGGCTATAGCTCTGGAGTAAAAGGGGAAAGTGGGCCCACTCCCAAGGAAAAGAGGAAGTGGGAAAGGGCGGTGGAGCGCATGAAGACAACTGGTGCAGTTGGTGAGGGTTTGTTTGGCAAAGTGTTTGCAATGAGTTTCGATTCTCTTGAAGAATTGCATCAGATGGCATTGTTGGACCTAGCAATGCTGCCGGAAGACCACGAAGCACGAGAGTCTGATGTGGTGGACATGCAATGCTGCAATGGCTTGAGCGCTGATGAAGCATATGATGTGTTGGAGGAAATGGAGCAAAGATCCTTGATCATTCGCACTGGTGAAGATGCATTGAGTGTGCGTGAGTTTCAAAGTAGGGGTTTTGTGACATGCCGTCTGCATGATGTGGTGCGTGACAGTGCAATGAAACTGATCACAGACCAGCCAGTTGCAGAACGCTGCCGCCTGGTGTCCTCCCACTTGAAGAAGGAATTGCATGTCAAAGATCAGAGATTGTTGGTGACAAAGTTCTCTGCAACGCACAGCATTGGACAGGACAGTGATCTAGATTTACAAACATTGAAGGTGCCCCAGTTGCGTGCCCTGGTCTTGAGGAATGCAGAGCTGTCAGGTTTGCCTTTAAGCCTGCTCGCTGCAAACCTGGTAGTCATCGACTTGGCGTTTTCAGGAGTTGCGAGCCTGCCTCCAGAAGTTGCATGCCTTGAGCATGCAAAGGTGCTGCGGCTGGATGGATGTGTTGAGCTGGAGCATCTGCCAAATGAAGTGGGAGCAATGCAGCAACTTTGGGTGTTGTCATTACGTGGATGCCAAGGCATATATGAACTGCCAGAGTCCCTTGTGAAGCTCACCAATCTGCGAAAGCTTCTCATGCCTGAGTGTGGAATTGCACAGATCTTGTCTATTGAAATAGGCAGCTTGCCGAATTTAGAGGTGTTGGACCTGAGCGGGTGTGCAGGCCTGAAATGCTTGCCTCCAAGTTTGGGAGACTTGTCTGGCTTGACAGCTCTTCACTTGGGCCATTGTTGGCAGCTGACCTCTCTGCCGTCCACCATTGGAAAATTGTCAAATTTGGAGGTGCTGCTCTTGCATCGATGCACTGGCCTTGAAGAGTTGCCAAGTGCTGTGACATTCCTTCACAAGCTGGCAGAGCTGGATGTCCAAGGATGCCGCAAGCTCAAATGCCTTCCCCAAGGCTTTGTTCGTGGCTGCCCTGGATTGAAGATACTGCGCCTTCAAGGGAACTCACAGTTGGCATTTCCGCACTTCGCTCTAGAATTGCAGCAGCTGCACGTGTTGGGTATATACGAGGATTGGATGCTGCCCAGCAGTGCGACTAAAAAAATACTGGACCAGCAGGTGTGGTTGGAGAAGGAGGCAACAAAAGACTACACATGGAGAGAGAAAGATATGGTGGGTGGCACTTTGTTTACACCATTCAATGCGTTGCTGCCCTGAGCACTACATTTTCCTAATCAATGCCGGATTTGGGGCTGGACTTTTGGCCCAGCTGGTGAGCATGTCTTCGCAAAAACTGTGAAGTGAAGTGTGCAGTGTCCTCAGAGAGCACACCCATTTGATAAGCAAAGATGTAATTTATGTTGTGAAGGACACGCCACTCCACTGGGCTGCTGGAAGGGGCAAGATGGAAATGGTAGAATACCATCTGAGAGAAACCAATGTGGATGCATCAGGCTCGGTGGGTTTGTGTAGAAAAACCTTGGATATCACATTGAGGTTTTAAACTTGTCATTGTTTATGAGGTCCCAAAAACCTGTTCTCCGATACTTGCAGTACAGGCATGCTTTTCTGTCCAATTCTCTCTTTGGCTTCTTTGCTGTTGCGTTTTTTCACTGTTGTCCAATTTTCTAGCATCCATTTTGCAGCTTCGACTAGCACATGAAACCACCAAGGTTCTGTTGCATGCACTGTGAACTGTCGTTGACTGCAGCAGTGACAACAGCAACAATCGCCAATTCCAACAGATGAATTGTAACACGATGTGAAGATTGTACAGTTCTGCAACCCAACTGCCAGCCAGCAGGTGATTCGAAATTACAGTATCTTGTTTGAAGCCAGAAATTGTAGAAATTTGTTTCAAACTACAGAGTGGTTCTTCTTAAAGTGCAGCTACCAGTCTGAGCAACAGAAGAAATGGCTTGCCACTGTGTTTCACATCGCCCTTGTCTCTTCAACAGCCTCTTGCGCACCAGGTCAGATCGGACAATATTGTCACTTGTGGCTGCTGCCAGTGCCGTTCACTGTGTACCACACAGTTTTTCTTTTTGGCTGTTTGGTGTGCAGTAACAGGGGTCGTCATTGTGGTTGATGCTGCTTTGCTCACAACTTGGAACTGTTGGTTTGCCCTCAGTATGGCGACACGGCTCTCATACGGGCAGCATGTGATGGACATGCTGCCACCGTGGAGTTGCTCTTGAACAGGGGAGCATCTGTTGATGCAGCCAACCAGGTGAGATGATGTATCGTATTTGTTCTGGGCCGAGTTGGTTGGTGCACTGTGCGAAGGCATACATATCCCAACATTGGTTCTAAATTTGCGATACCGGCTCACCACTGTGTTTCACATCGCCCTTGTCTCTTCAACAGCTTCTTGTGCACCATGTCAGATCGGGCAATATTGTAACTTGTGGCTGCTGCCAGTGCTGTTCACTGTGTACCACACAGTTTTCTTTTTGGCTGTTTGGTGTGCAGTAACAGGGGTCGTCATTGTGGTTGATGCTGCTTTATTCACAACTTGGAACTGTTGGTTTGCCCTCAGTATGGCAGCACAGCTCTCATAGGGGCAGCAAGGATCGGACATGCTGCCACCGTGGAGTTGCTCTTGAACAGGGGAGCATCTGTTGATGCGGCCAACCAGGTGAAATGATGTATTGTATTTGTTCTGGGCCGTGTTGGTTGGTGCACTGTGTGAAGGCATACATATCCCAACATTGGTTCTAAAGCTGCGATACTGACTCACAACTGCGTTTCACTTCGCCCTTGTCTCTTCAACAGCTTCTTGCGCACCAGGTCAGATCGGACAATATTGTCACTTGTGACTGCTGCCAGTGCTGTTCACTGTGTACCACACAGTTTTTCTTTTTGGCTGTTTGGTGTGCAGTAACAGGGGTCGTCATTGTGGTTGATGCTGCTTTGCTCACAACTTGGAACTGTTGGTTTGCCCTCAGTATGGCGACACGGCTCTCATAGGGGCAGCAAGGATCGGACATGCTGCCACCGTGGAGTTGCTCTTGAACAGGGGAGCATCTGTTGATGCGGCCAACCAGGTGAAATGATGTATTGTATTTGTTCTGGGCCGAGCTGGTTGGTGCACTGTGTGAAGGCATACATATCCCAACATTGGTTCCAAAGTTGCGATACTGACTCACAACTGCGTTTCACATCGCCCTTGTCTCTTCAACAGCCTCTTGCGCACCAGGTCAGATCGGACAATATTGTCACTTGTGGCTGCTGCCAGTGCTGTTCACTGTGTACCACACAGTTTTGCCTTTTGGCTGTTTGGTGTGCAGTAACAGGGGTCGTCATTGTGGTTGATGCTGCTTTGCTCACAACTTGGAACTGTTGGTTTGCCCTCAGTATGGCGACACGGCTCTCATACGGGCAGCAGGGAGCGGACATGCTGCCACCGTGGAGTTGCTGTTGAACAGGGGGGCTTCTGTTGATGTCGCCAACCAGGTGAGATGATGTATTGTATTTGTTCTGGGCCGTGTTGGTTGGTGCACTGTGTGAAGGCATACATATCCCAACACTGGTTCTAAAGTTGCGATACTGGCTCACCACTGCGTTTCACATCGCCCTTGTCTCTTCAACAGCCTCTTGCGCACCAGGTCAGATCGGACAATATTGTCACTTGTGGCTGCTACCAGTGCTGTTCGCTGTGTACCACACAGTTTTGCCTTTTGGCTGTTTGGTGTGCAGTAACAGGGGTCGTCATTGTGGTTGATGCTGCTTTACTGACAACTTGGAACTGCCGGTTTGCCCTCAGTATGGCAGCACGGCTCTCATAGGGGCAGCAGCGAATGGACATGCTGCCACCGTGGAGTTGCTGTTGAAAAGGGGGGCGTCTGTTGATGCGACTGGCCGGGTGAGATGATGTATCGTATTTGTTCTGGGCCGAGCTGGTTGGTGCACTGTGTGAAGGCATACATATCCCAACATTGGTTCCAAAGTTGCGATACTGGCTCACCACTGTGTTTCACATCGCCCTTGTCTCTTCAACAGCCTCTTGCGCACCAGGTCAGATCGGGCAATATTGTCACTTGTGGCTGCTGCCAGTGCTGTTCACTGTGTACCACACAGTTTTGCCTTTTGGCTGTTTGGTGTGCAGTAACAGGGGTCGTCATTGTGGTTGATGCTGCTTTACTGACAACTTGGAACTGTTGGTTTGCCCTCAGTATGGCGACACGGCTCTCATACGGGCAGCAGGGAGCGGACATGCTGCCACCGTGGAGTTGCTGTTGAACAGGGGGGCTTCTGTTGATGTCGCCAACCAGGTGAGATGTTGTATTGTATTTGTTCTGGGCCGTGTTGGTTGGTGCACTGTGTGAAGGCATACATATCCCAACACTGGTTCTAAAGTTGCGATACTGGCTCACCACTGCGTTTCACATCGCCCTTGTCTCTTCAACAGCCTCTTGCGCACCAGGTCAGATCGGACAATATTGTCACTTGTGGCTGCTACCAGTGCTGTTCGCTGTGTACCACACAGTTTTGCCTTTTGGCTGTTTGGTGTGCAGTAACAGGGGTCGTCATTGTGGTTGATGCTGCTTCACTGACAACTTGGAACTGTTGGTTTGCCCTCAGTATGGCAGGACGGCTCTCATACGGGCAGCAGCGAATGGACATGCTGCCACCGTGGAGTTGCTGTTGAACAGGGGGGCGTCTGTTGATGCGACCGACCAGGTGAGATGGTGTATTGTATTTGTTCTGGGCCGAGTTGGTTGTGTTAAAACCCTAAGAATGGCCACACATCTGCCGTTTATTCTGGGGATCTTGCCAATGGTTGGTTTTGTCTCTTTGATGCGTGGTAGAGCAGTCTGGGATGTGTGGTTTGGCCTGCTTTATTGACAGCCTGAAACTGGCCTTTTGTCCGCTTTGGGGCAGCATTCCTCTAATTGGCAGCAGCAGAGTTGCCCATCAATGGAGGGGCATCTGCTGATGTGGCTGGCCAGGTCGGATGCGATATCATATCAGTTTGGGGCGAAAACTGTGTTGCCATTGTTTTCTCAACAGTAACACTTAAGTAATAATCTGCTACAGAATGGCATTGCTCATGGCGTTCGACCACTGCACACCAGATTGCTGGTGGACAATCTGCAAAGTTTGGTTGTTGCCCATGGTGCTCGCTTCCGCAGCCCAGTTGCATATTAGCACTGGCCAGTTTTGGTGCTTGGGTTCTCTCTTGTCACAGCCTAGAAATGTGGGTTTGCCTATTGGGCAGCAACACACCAGAGATCATCTTGCGTTTGGCGTTTTTGGGGACATGCTGTCTGATAGACAGGTTGGAATATTCGATGCCCATATGGAGACCAGTCTGCATGTACACATTTAGGTTATGCATTGAAGACATTGCTGATGGTTGAGTTTTGTTGGGTATACCCTATGCCTTCCAAGAGAATTAGCTATTGGCTGGCTCACAAGCTCTGACCACCATAAAATTGGTGCATTTTATGGCAGCACGGGTGCACCAGTCTACAATGGGCAGCTGCTGGAGGTTCAGAAGCTGTGTTTGACTTGGTCTTTGCCAAATATGATGCTCCACCACTGGAGGCCAAAGATAAGGTACACGGGTACTGTGGCCTTCTTGGCGGAGAAATGCATGCATTGAAATGGCAAATATGTGCAACCAAATCTCTGCATTATCTGCACAGTTGTCCTTGTGACCGAGCATCCGAGCATCAATGGGCGTTTTGTTCATCAGGGTAAGCTGCGTTTTCTTTGCACTTCAACAGGGAATCACGCGGCGATGTTTACCACCCTGAGTTCCCCAACTGCTGTGCCCAAGTTACTATGGAACAGTGCAGCCATTGTATAGTTAACCTGCCAGGATACACTCCGCACAGGGCATCAATACAAGGGAAGGGCTCCATTTGCTTTCCTAACTCCACAGCCCAGGGGCCTTGGTTGTCTTATTTGCTGATCGTGCTTCTTTGCAAGCCATGCCCAAAGCAGCATTTCGACTATCGATAACTGGCATTTGCTCAAAAAAGTTGTGCGTGGCCAGCTGTTTTGGACCTTTATTTTGAGATGAAGCTTGTGCCCACATATTTATGACTCGTGTTTAATTGGCACCCCAAGACGAGTACCTACAGATCAAGGCAGAACGTGTCGGGAAAGTTGCATATACTGGGATATGGAATGGCCCATATCCTGGCCATATCCTGGCTATGGGCGGCCATATCTCAGGACATGGCCATATCATAGCCCACGTCCCAACCATATCCCATTATATGGATCGTCCATATCCTAGGATACCGCACCAGTATGAAGGGGCACGGGACGCCACATGTGCGATTCCACCCGTCCCGAGGGCGTAGGTTTGAGGTTTAGGGGAATGCGCGGGATGCCATATACCTGTCCCGAGACCAAAAATTCCACAGCATATATTCCAGGATACGACCATATCCTCCCCCATACCCCTGCCATATCCCTGAACATGTCGTCTATGCCATATTCGATATCCAGGATACTGGGGGCCCCATGTCCTGCTCCATATCCTGGATATGCAATTTTTCCCCGAGCGACGTCAGTGCACGTGAAACAGTGGTTCTGTTGGATATTCGAGTTTATGATCTGTCAACAGTCGAGCCATGCCACGAAATGTTTCCGCAACCAAGAGAGTTTCTTGGTGCGACCTTTGTGAATGCGAATATTGTTCAATGTCAGCTCCATCTGCTCCCCAGAAACACTGTGCAATCGATACAAGCAATGCCTACATGCTGTCCTTGGCAGAATCCGAAACGCCATGAGAATAAGCCCGTAAAATTGTCAGCGACACATTTGATGTTTGTGTTCCAATTACTATCTGTTCCACTGTCAATCGTTTGTTGACTTTTGAAGGTGGTATTGGTGCTTGCAGGATGGAGACACCCCACTCCTGGAAGCATGTATCTCTGGCCACAGTGTCATTGTAGAGAGGCTGCTGGATCGGGGTGCAAATGTGCATGCCGTTAACAACGTGAGATGGTTGGAATGCGTGGATGCTGCATGTGCCTGGCCTATGTAAATACAAGTCCCCATAAGTGGGAACTTTGGCAAATGGAAAACCGTCTGCAATACAAGATTGGGAGCTGCAAGGGTCATATGTTTGTTTGGGAAGGATTGGTCATGTAAACAACCTTATAGCAACCCACGTAGTTTGTCATGACTGTTCTTTTCGATGGGCACAACTCCGAAGTGCAGTTGAGATGCACTTTGAAGGCCTGAATGACTGAGTGTGATGTTGATAAAGATCAGCAAGGCGCAATGCATTCAGGCCTGGAAATCTGTGCAATGTGAGAAAACGCCTAAGGCACTATGGACATATTGTTGCATCTCAGTGTCATTCCAATGCTATCACTGAAACGAGCTCCGTTTGCACTGAACATTTCTTGTATTTGTTTCACTCTTCCTGTCTGATGATCAACTATCAGTTTAACTAGCACGTGATATAGTCTGGACCAATGAAATGTGCTTGCCCATGTGGTTGGATAGTGTCAAAACGTAAGCTCGCATTGTCGGTCCAATATCTTGTGCCTATCATTGCAAATGAGCACCAATGAGCAACACATCTGTTTGCCATAAAAGCGGCTGTTGCTGCACATGACGGCTCTGGAGCACTTGTATGTTGTGCCTCTCTTTGTGAGTAGCTGTGTTCGACACCCTAATGATGTGCTTATCCTCCAGGAAGGAAAAACTCCACTGATCTGTGCGGCAGTAGAGGGTACATGCGAGATTGTTAAATTGCTTCTGGATCATGGAGCTAGAGCAGACATCGAAGACAAGGTGCATGCTGGCTGAAAACACTTGTCCAATGCCCTTCAAGAGCTCTTAATCATTAGGATGGGGTGGTGGGCAAGACCTGATGACAATGCAATCCAACCTCTGTTTCTTCGGTTTGGTTTAATGCAATGCAGCAGCCACCAACGCAGTATTTTCCTTGCATCTGTGAGCTCAGTTGGGAAGAGGGGAATGTGGGGTGGGGACCCGTCATCGACATCCCCCAAATGTAAGCCTTTTGCGATGTTTTGCCCCACAAGACGTATCTGCATGGACATCTGTGTTTTTCTGTCACGGCACATTCACTTCATGGGGCGTTGACGCATGATCTACGCCGCCGATCCTGCCAATCCTGGTGTGCCCGAAAGGCTTTGCATTAGTGTATAAGAGTCATGCCGGACTGGGTGCTTTCCCAAAATTGGCACCCAACACTGCGGCTGGACAGGGCACCCAAGACAGACATGCTGCTTTGGCTTGTGCCCTTCATTCCCACCTTGGTGCGGGACGCGAAGTGTCCCCGTTCTGATGGTGCTAAAGATTGTGTAGTTGCCCACCAATTCTGGATGGTGGGGCATGCAACGGTACCACGATTGAATGCCAGCGTGGCGCCTGGTACCTCTCAAGGGTCGCTGTTCGATCTGCGGCGGAATCGCTTGGCACAGCGTTCCCAATGCATGTGTCCATGGATGGACTGGCTGTGTTTGTTGAGTGTTTTGGTTCGTCGTTGCAGAGTGGACGAGGCCCAGCAGCGTATGCGAGGGAGGAGGGGCACGCCGCATTGGCTGAGATGCTGTAAGTGCCTTGGCCCCTGCAGTGGAAATAGTTTGACACTGTTTTGTTGATGCTAGAAGGAACCGCAGTCATCAACAATGATTGTGGAGGGTCATGATGGACTGACTGTTGACCTAATAATCACGAACTGGAGCCAGTCATTTGATGCAATGAGACGGCGAGTCTGTACAGCTCATGCACAGCGCTCGCCTTTCTAACATACGACATCTGGTGCTCAGGGAGGCAGCGGAAATTAAGCAGGCACAAATCGGGCGGGGCGATGCTGCGGAGAGGCCGGAGGGCGAGTAGGCATCGCCAGCGCATCCTCCCATCTACAGCAGTGTTGCTGCTGGCCAAGGCGATGGGCAGCGACCGTGGAGGAGCTACCGTATTTACCCGGCATTAGTAGGCATCCCCTATTAGTATCCACCCCCCTCTTTGGGGGTCGAAACCACGTTAGTATCCATGACCCGCTGTTAGTATCCACCCCCAAACAGCAACGAGCGAAGGCATGGATGGTGGCAAGGGAAGTCGGCGACTGGTGTTGGACTGCGTTGCCTAGTCTAGACCAAACCGTGTTCCCCTACGATTCGCACATCGACGGGAACGATCGGGCCGGAGTGGATGTCGTTGAGGGAGAATTTGAAAGAGGGCTCACGAAAGGCCGCATGGTCGACTGCCCGCCGTTGGCGCTCTCAGCGCAGGATCGCCGGGGATCGACCGATGCCCCAGGGCCCAATAAAAAAAACGGTCGAGATATCGAAGCCGCCCTGCTTCTGGATTGAGCTAACCTGCTCCCCGGCCGGCCAGTGTAGGTTCCGGCCTGCCGCCTGCCAAGGGCGCTCCAAGGCCTAGCGCCAGGAATGGTAGGCGATGGCGTTGGTGGGGGCGGCTGCCGTTGTGAGACCCTGCCTTTCAAAACTGCCCACAAAACGCTGCCAAGGCCGGGCCTGTCCCCAATTCGCACATCGTACTAGGTACTAGGCCACAAACACATTCACAGATCACATCAGCCTTCGCAGCTGCCATCAACCTGGGAAAGCGCCGCGTTTCAAGCTTGTCGTTGCGGCGTTGCGCCCCAGCGAGTCGAGACCCGTGTCGGTCCTTGTTCTTTGCATTGCAGAGGAAATTGCGCCTCGAACATTCCAGCGAACCCCTATTGGCCCCAATCGCCAGTTGCCACCACCTGGTGCAGCCCCAAGTCAAGGCCGCCAGCTCCCATGAAGAGGCTGACAACATTCCACACTAGCATTGCCATCCTTGCCCATTTCTGGGCATTTCACAGCCTATCTGTCAAAAAAATTCTCTGTCTACTCTTTGGGATCAGGGGTCCATACCGCGTTAGTATACATGACCCACTATTACTATCCAATGCTTATTTTGGGGGTCCAATACACGCCTACAAATACCGGGTAAATACGGTAACAGCTGCCTTTCGTGCCCCGCTGGGCAATCACCAGTGCTGCTCAACAGGGATAGGCGTTGCACCGACGCTGCTGAAACCTGTCGTATTCAATGCTACCATGGCTTGCAATCGCCCTGGTGGGAGCCCGTGGATTGCCTGATGCCGCAAATTGCATGTGAATGTGTCAGGACTTCTGTGTTCTTTTCTTGAGCAGTCATTCGTCTGCCGCTGTGGGCACAACTCGGGTTGGACCGTTGTTTGTGAAGGGCAGCGTGCTTGCGTTGCCTTTGTTGGGGACAGCCATTTCTCCATGCGCCGTGCATTGGATTGGCCACCGGCATGGATGATCGTGTTGTGATCCCGCCGTTTGGCGGCTTGCGCTGCAGGGGATGTGCTTGTCTGGTTAGCGGAGTAGTTGATGAACCAGGTGCTCTCTAGGCGCTGCAGGGGTGGTGGCGCCACGGCGATTTGGTCGCTGATGCCATTTGCTAGCTAAGTAAACGATTGCCCTCAAAATAGAGGTGAGCCAAGGAGAGGTCCACACCAACCCTGAAGTGTCCAAGAAAAACTACTCCCTTGCGCGTAACAATGCAGCTGGCATCCACAGACGAAACTTATGAACACGTATTCTGGCATCTCCACAGCCAGTGCACTGGCTGCAGCGCATGCTGGAGTCGCGTTATGTATTGATGTCGTCCACTGACCTGGGTCACCAACACACTCTACTGAATGGGGCCATCAGCGATGTGGCGGAGGCCAGGCTTCTGTTCCCTCTCAGTCCGTGGCATCCTTCGACTGCACATATTAAGCCAGCGGCTCTGCTTTCGACCTTGCCATCGACCACATGGACCAAGCACATAAATAGAAACCAGACCATGAGAAGAACTGGCACTTTCAGCACACAAAATTGACAAAGTAGAGCACACAACGCTAACGTAAAGTCCAGCATGGTTGTCTGATAATGGTTGAGTTGTCCGATCAAGGGTAGCGCCCTGTGAGAAAGGAACGAAACATCGGCAGTATTGGCATATCTCCACCCCCTCAATGTCTGAATCGGTGTCCGTTGTCGCCATGGAAGGATCAACGACACAGTTTTGTTTGCCACATCTTGAGAATTTCCATCAATGGCTTCGCCACTGAAAGTCTACAACAAATTAAGCGTTGAAGCTGTCGAGGGCACAGATGCCTGCAAATTGACCACGCTTGTGTAAGTCAGAACACAAAAATCAGCTTGATTGGCACCCTGGACGTGCAGCACTGCACACGTGCCAAGAGAGCCCAGCCGCGGCCAACCTAAACTGGCGAACAGGAAGCTACCTGCTAGGAAAGAATGAGTGTTAAGGGGCAGGGCTCGGCAGCCAGCCCTACATTTGCCCTGGTTTGGCATTTCTGCTGGTCGACTCCTGGTGGGCCAGTTTGGTGGGCATAGTTCCGGGCACCAGTGCTGCATGGCAGCTGGGGACCTGCCTATTGGTCCACACCGACCACCTCTGGGAAGGCCGTCCCGATTTGGTCCCTGTCGCGACCCATTCTGTAGCACCTGTTGCATTTGCATCAGTCAATCAATCAACAAATCAAGCTTGCGTGCGGAAATCACCATATCCTGTCAAAGGCGGCATGCACGTTAATGCCACGCCACATGTGATGACAGCCAACCCAATGGGATCTAATAGCATGCACACCACATCGCCGGGATTGCACAACGCACGGCAATTGCCGCATGCACAGCTCGCTGCGAAGCATATGTGACATTGCATACGAGCAACCAAACAATGCAGAACTTGAGAGCCACGGGAACACGCTATGAGTACTGTGCAAAGTGCGAATTGGGTGATGACCACAATGCATGATACACAGACACGTTGTAGAACTTCGCTGGATTCCATGTTGACGCTTTCGGAACTTCCTGAAACTGCTCTCTAGTGTCTGGTCTCGGAATTCTGGGTACACACACTACTTTGTTGCATGCAGCCTTCCAGGACAGCCAGTCTGCACTTTGTCTTTCCTGCCGAGCAAAACTTGCAAAGACATGCTCTGCCAGAATGCCGGAGCCAAAAACTGGTCAAACAGCGACGTATACGTGCTGGAACTGCTTGGGAAACAGCATGTGCGATTGACCGCCGCTATCCATGCCACGTCAGAGCAGCAGTGGATGCAGACGGAGGGTGGCCTTGCTGGGCAGGTGCCAGCGGGGAAAATGTGTTGTGGTGTGGTGCAGGTGTCGCCACTGACAGACACTCAGCGGGTTTCAGTTGCATCCGTCGATGCCCATGCGCGGTCGCTCCCTTTCAGCCTTGCAACGCGATCAAAGGGACGCCCTGTTTCCCTCCGCAGGGCCAATGTGCATGTGGGGTTGATTGAAGAGATCTGATTGGCCTCTGCTGATCTATAACTGCAATATTGAATATGTGCCCTCCAGTACGACAATGGAGCACATGACGATAGTTTTGCTACATTGTACTGCTCCTGCCAACACCCACCAACACCCACGGCCAACGATCCCCTTCAAGCCAGTGTTTTTGACACGACTCTGCGAGGCTCTTTACGGTACGCATCTGTGCCACTCACAGCGCTACCCACCCTGCTCCCGTGCTCCTGCAACCCCTCTATACGGCGTCTAGTATTTGCAACGCCAGGCGAACAAGCAACGGCGGCAACCATTTGGCGAACTGCCAGGGAAGGCGCCCATTCCTAAACGCAGCTAATTTTTCTAGTGCCAACATGTTCACCACAGTGGGAAGCTCAAAGACCCCATGATTCACTAAATCGAGGAAATGTGGTGAATACGTTGAAATAACTTTCACACAGAACATTGATTTGCATTACGAAGGACACAATGTTGGCGGAAAAAACATGCGCACAGAGTAGCTGCTAAATCATTGCGACTCACTTGATCATGACGTCATATTGCTCGATGTCGATCAGGTTCTCCTCCCCGCCGGCGAGGAAGCACAGCGTGTACAGCGCCATCTCGAACTCGGGCGACGTCCCGATGAAGATGGTGGAAATGGGCTTCAGCTCGTCGCCCCACTCCATCTGGACCGTCAGAATCCGTTCATTGCCATCGGGCTGAGGGACAAAGTAAGGCACACAATCCTCAGTGCACGATACCCAAACAACGCAACAGCAGGACAAAAAACCTTGGCGTCTTTGCTGCATTTTGGTGTTCTGCTAGGCCAGCGTCATGGATCAGTTCTTGGGCTGCTGATGAAGCTTCACCAGGGAGGCGCCAGTTTCTGCCATGTTTCCCTTGTTCTTTAACAATGGTTATATCTCTGTTCCGTTTGGGAGGAAAACTGTGCGCCCTCTTCGGGGATTGAGTTTAAAGATCGCAGACACACTGCTACCAGGTCTGGCATCAGGTCTGGTGCTGAATTTTCAGTAATCCAATGCAGCAAAAACTCCATTAGAGCAGGCAAACTGCTGTGATATGCCACAGCATTTATCTGCCAGTGGCCCCCACAGCACCAAACATCTCGTCTACAAGCCTGATCAGTCATTCAGATGTTAACACTCATGGGGTTTGTACATCGCCTGGCACTTTCTTGTTAGATGGCACAAGGTCGGCATATTCTGTTAGGATGGGTTTGGCACTGCTACTCCTAAAATATTCTGTACTGTTCTGGAACAAACAACAACCCACCACAACAAGAGGATGAGCAGCAATCAATCAATTGGGCTTTGATACAGCTTCTTGTGATGTAAGACAAAGTCCACATATCTGTTATGCCAACTAACCAGCTAACCAAGCACAAATTTGTGCCAGAACTTGTGTGTGTGTGTGGGGGGGTGGGGTGGGGTGGGGGGGGCTGGAGGATGGGAGAAGGAGGCTAACACCTTGATGTTGTGGAACACAACCTTGAGTGTGGAATCCAATCAACAAGAGCAGCAACAAGCACCAATTCTTGAAGACATTTGGAGTGCCAAGTGCCAGAAGCAACTGTTCCAGAAACCATTTCAATGGATTGCTCATTCTGTCAGGAGGCCCCATGCCCCATGCTCTCAGATTTGTCCATTTCCCTCTTTCATTTCAAGAAGGAAAGCAAATAAGCATCTTAAACAAACAACAGCGCTGAAGTTTCCCTATCAAACTCCAATGATTTCACAGGTTCATGATGCACACTCACATTCTCCACTCCCTGTCCGCGCCTCCTTGGCCTGATGAACCCCCGGTAGTCGATGTTCCCTTTCCTCTCCTCAATGTAAAACTGTATCCAGCTGTGCACAGTGTACTAAGCCTCAGTACATTAGGAAACCGCCATACCACCGTACACGACAAATCGGTACATAGCAAGCACAATATTGTACGCTACGTAGATGAATCAAGGTTGGCCAAAATTGGGGCCTGAGTAAGGTCACAATTGCATGCATGCATAATTACAACACACCTGTACAACACGAGGTCCAACAGTACAGCAAGGATGCATCCATCACTGCTAGCAACATACGGCGGCCAATGCCTGTGTGCACAGTTGGGAATCTGCCATGGATTCACTTCATCAGTGCGCCATCTATTTCCACTAGTTTTGTCGTACTGTTGTTAATCTACAGAGCCTGTGCATGCAAGCATCCCACAGTACTGTCACCAGCAAAACACCATATAGCTTCAGAGCACGCTATGTCTCCAAAACACAGCCACCTCACGTCAGTACGCCAGCATCGCATCGTAGAGCATTGCATTGTTGGGCCGCAGAAATTCATGCACTTTTGTCCAGCTCAACAACCAACACCTGTAATCTTGTGCACATTCATCCAGCATATAAAGTAGAAGGCAGTGATGCCTGAGGGCAACACAATACACTTATCTGATTCTGTGATTAAATCAACATTAGTTTCAATGTGACACGTTACCAGGGAAAACACAATCACTATGACTAAAACTGAATACGGCCAAGAGCGTACTTGTGCAGCCCAGTCACTTTTCCATTCTTTACTTCGCCCACAAAGACGTGCTCAAAGCCGCTGGAGTCGAAATCCGTCTCCCTCCGATAGAAATAGAACCAGAGCTTCATCAGCAGGTCCTTGAACTCCCCTTCATCTGCAGGGGCTCTGCCCTGGTGGAAAAATGCAACGGTTTTTTCACATCTCCTTGTCATATCTGCAGTGGCAACATTGGGCAACTCATAGCAAGGCGCAACCCCTGTGCATTCTGGGCAATGTTGGGTGTGAAAACACCCTCTTGGGAGGGTGGGTGCATCATACAGTACTCAATGCACACAGTACTTAGCAATAGTATGTGGCATTACGCCCTGTCATGGAAACCTCTGTGTCAGCAAAATGGCGCAGTGACACATGCAAAGGAACAACTAACTTCTGGACTGCAGTAGGATCCTTGAAAGCCTCATGCGCTTTTGCTTGGCTGTGCAACACACTGTGAGCCATCAAATGCTGCAAAGCCACTAAATTTCGGTTCTTGGATGGCACTTTCATGCACTCGATTCACAGAAACAAGAATGCGTTATGCTCAAATGCTTGCCCTTGGCCACCTTCTTTACCTTCAATTAAACAGTTTCCTTTCCTGCCCATATATTTCAATCACGAACATGATTGACAATTATGCCACTATTGTTCCACTGACTTTGTGATATGTCATTTGTTACTATTAGTGCTTTTTGTTGTGTGTTGTACTATCCATTATCTTTGTTTATTTGCTCATGAAAGTCCACAGTTGAGGCACTCCAACGGGAGTACCTTCTTGACAAGGAGGTTGTGGCAATACTGCATGGGCTTCGTTTCCATAATCGCGTTCACGAACGCTATTGTTTCCTGCCTCTCTTGCGGTGTGAGGGTCTCCCTGATGCCAGTCTGCCTGCAAGACACAAAAACAGAAGTGGGTTCGCCAAATGTTGCAATATGCACATCTGCATGCCTGTCATCATGCACCTGCTTCAGAAGCTAAACATAATAGAATGCACAACAACACAAACAATAGGAAGCCACACAATAGTTTCAGTGAGAATATAGAAAGAAACTGAGCTAACCCAAGGAATGGACAAACCCATAGCATGCAGCACAAACATGTTACATATACTGAGACGTACATATACACATATATACAGACAACCATAGCGCTCTAAGTTGCAAATGCCTACACAGCACACAGGTAGATCAAAGGCAGTGCCAAATCCTCAGCGGTCCACATGGGCCTCACAGCCCTTGCCTAAATAACACCCCACCTCCCACAACATGAGAGCAACTGCATACAAGATGCCACTCACCTTTCATAGTTGTCAAGCAGGTTGTAGAAAATCACATACGTCTGTCTCTGCCACACATCGTCCTTCACGCCCAGGAACAGCTTGTCTGCTGCAGCATCCTGGTTCCCAAATGGGTTCTTGCCACCCTGCAAGGCACACACCAAAGATCGCTTTTCATGTACGGACCCTCACGAGTCAAGATGTGTTGTGTCAATCAAATGCATGCTGCTGCTACAAGCAGCATGTTAGGAACCTCAGTTGGAACTCTTTCAGGCAAATCCTTGATGCTTGCAATGGTCAGACTCAATGAACAAGCGAATAGCACATTATTGGTCAAAAATTTAGAACTGGTAACTGCATCCTTACAGGCAAGGCAAAAAGAGACATATCAGACCAGTGTCTAAGCTGAACTCTGGTGATCAAAGAGCTCCAATGCGACAGGCTGTCAGGCATACTATGTATCTAGGCCTGCAGACTGCCCACAGTATTTCTGGTTCCAAACGGACCCCATTTCCCTTGTCGAAACAGCTGCTGACCTGACTGAAAGAAAAATCAGCTTTACCCTGCAATGCCACCCAACTCTTGTGATGCCAGCGTAGAATGCAGAATCTGCTGCTGTCTCAGCTAAATGCCATTCAGCATCGACACAGCACTTCTGCCTTGTTGAGATACACGCCAGAGAGGCTCACCTTTTACCAGGTTGGTCCTTTGTGTTATAAGCATCTTCTACCATATTGTGTTGGCTTATCTTGTCTTACATTCGTGCTGTCGTCTATTCTGTCTTCATAAGGTTGCAACCATTCATTCAGGATGCGCATATGCATTTCGCACTTCCAACTATCAACAAAATCATGTGAGCCTCTTGTGAATGCCTAGTTGATGCAGGCATCTCTGAGTGCAACGAGAGCAGCAGGCGATGCTGGAGATTTACGGCAACAAGCCGCAGCAAGAATACCACCTTCAATAGGAGAAGGCGAGAAGCAATGAAAGGTTGGGTGGCGGCGACGGGGGCTCGATTGCTCACCCGGTCGCTTTTGCAGGTACTGTACCCTACCCCCAAACACACAAGCTGCAGAAAGGAATGGGGCCTCCAGCAAAGTCTGGCCAAGTCGCACATTCTCGTGGAAGGCAGACACAAGCCATGCCAGGTCAGAATCCGAAAGACCGCAATCCTGGATCGCGAATCGACCGATCCATCGCATCCCATCCCCCCTCTCCTGGAATCCTGGCTCGTCCACCCGCGTGCCCGCGCTTCCCAGGATCCCGGCCAGGCGCCCGCAATCGACGAAAAGCCACCGGCCAGATCCCTCGCCACGTGTTTGTGCACCAGTCAGTGCGCGAGACGCCGCGCAGATCAACCTCGGCGTTTTGTTCACAGCGCCGCGATTGAATCGTGGCCCGAGACAAAGCCTAAGTTCTACCCGAGGCTCCAAGCCATCGCTGGCCGCGCGGGCCGCGCGGGCCGCGGGCGCGCCCCGCCGTTTCGTTGTGCCGCGGCCCAGGAAGCCGGACGCGAAAATCAGCGCCCCCAATGCTGAGAGAACGCACGAGTGAGCGAGCTGCCGTCAAGCGATCTGCTTTCAGGCCCCCTCCCCCTAACGCTCTTTCCGAGACGCCTGCACGCCGCCAACCCGGGCCTGGACAAGGGTTTTTTGTCCGCCGTCCTACCTGGCCACGGGCTGTGATCTCGCATCCCAGTTCTGCAACAAGGACTGATCAAGCCAGCCTTCAGGGCGCCGCGCCTGTTCAAATCCAAATCTCCTCCCTCTGTACACCGTCGACGAGCGCCAAAATTCGTCTACGGGCGGCCAACCGCGACAGCTGGCAATCACGCCAACCACGCGTCGTTGACGATCTCGAAAGCCAATTCCGCAACAACGACCGGTCAAGCCAGCCTTCAGGACGCCATCCGCCCCAAAAGCCAAATCTCCTCCTCTCTAGACGGCCAGCGACCGCCAAGAATTGGTCCCTCGCCGGCCAAGCGCAGACTGCCAGCATTCACCCCACCTTCGCTTCGATCTTCAATCCCAATTCCTAAACAATGACCTACCAAGCCAGCCTCCTTACCGCCATCCACCCCCATCCCCCACCTCCAACCTCCCCAGAACGCCTTCAGGCCCCAAAATTGCTCCCAAATCCGCCGACGAGCTGCGTCCGGGTGAATATCCCACCTGCACGTTGATGGCGTAGTCCACGCCCGGCTCCAGCCGATTCTCGTCCAAGTCCCACAGCTTCTGGCACGCCAGAGATAGGCTCTCCAGCTCCTCCTCGGTGGGGTGGACCGACATGGCCGCGGCGGTTCCTGAAGACTCGGTCCGCTGCTCGGTGGGGCGTCTGGGGATGGTCGCGAGACCGCGGCATATCTGAACGAGGCCGCGGTCTTGCCGGCGTCCGGTTTTTAGGTCCTAATGAGGGAATGGATTTGGTCCTGGTCACTTTTAGGTTCTCATGATTTAGCTGTTTTAGGTCCTGGGCTGTTTTAGGTCCTTGATCGACGGCAGGGCCAGCTGTGGGACCACCTGGGGCCCTAGATTGCTTTAGATCCTAGACATGGTGAGGGATTTGTCTTGAATGTCCGGAGAAGGTTGTGGGGACCCTATTCATGGCCTAAGATGACGGGAGATAGGTCGCTGTGTTTCTCGTGTTTGCACTGAAACGTGCATACATTGAGCAGTCAGAATTACGCTCAATTACTTGTAAATAGAAGCCTGGTTGCTGCGCCAGTCACAAGCCTGCATCCATGAAGCTCCTGTCTTCAGATCGCCCGCAACGGAAGCGTGCCCATGGCAGTCGATCACTAGCGGCTTGACGGTGAACATACGACATATATGCCAGCCCAAGCAGCACACCAAACTCCATGTAGGCACGAAAGGAACACGCAGGAATCAAGAGGAGCAACGGCAGGGGCTGTGCAAGTGCCAAATGCCTGGGGCCGTCACGAAACTTCTGAAATGCTGAATTGCAACTTGCAGGGCCGGTCACATGTTATTTTCGAACATTTTCTTCCATTTTTCGAACAAAGCTGAATCGCCGAGAACAATATACTAAGAGCCTGTACTGTGATTAGACGGCACAGATCGTGTAGCTTCAGTTGGCAATTGATTCGTTATGGGACTTCACACAGCTACAACACTCTAACAGGGACAACTGCACGACAACAACGCGCCCTTCCTCACTGAATCATTTCTGTGGATGGCATTACTTCCGCCATTTCAGAAGTATTTCATGTTGCGAATGGCATCAATTGTATCCAGGGCAGTTGCGTGGCACGTTCTAGCGGAAGAAACGCTCCATTTTTGTGGTGCCAACTACGATGCCAAATTGACGCTCGGTGCACCCATCACAGCGACTGCGATGGCCTCGAATTGGCTGTGAGGGCGCCCATTTGTGTCAAATGGCATCGCAGCAGGCATCGTCAAAATATCTTTTTCTGCTGGTGAAGCTGGGGTTGTCCAATGCATGATCCAAACCGAAGCATGGTAAAGCAATGCGGTGACTTTCTTTCGTCTGTGATTTAGCTCCACCACAGATGGATCTTAGAATGCTGGCCACTAGGAAAGAAAAATCAAGTAACACGTGTTCAAAAGTGTACAAAGTTTACGGGTTTGTGTTATTTCCGTGTTTTTAGCGTGGAGAACACTGATAAAATGCATATACATGTGTTCTCAGAAATTGTTATTTGGTCCTTCTTTTCCTAGTGGGCACGTGCTCGGATACTGGCAGGTCGTTCGCTTGCCATCGATGGGAGGACGCTAACCTGGTACAGTGTTATTTTTGACAATCGATCATTTCGAGATGGCTGCCGTGTTGTCAAAGAAGGCCATCGCCTTCGGGAAGTTCCTGTGTTGATTTGGCAGTACCCAGATCAAAACGGGACGTTGAGCGTACAAGCTTGTAAGCTGGTATCAGGCTTGGACCCTCTTGAACCCTGCCCCACTCAGAGCCGAGCGGGGAAGGGTTCGAGAACGTACGCAACGGGAATTTCCGCAATTGAGCTGGAGTTGAGCTCTAAAAAGAAGAGGCCAAACTGCCTTCCCGGTGCACGAGAGATGCCACGGACGTGCCCATCCACGCCAGAAGCCGCCTCCACGTCAGGTATGGCGATCTTCGCGGGTGTTTGCAGTATAGGTATGGGTCATGGGACCGATCGAGTGCTGTGCGCCCTCTGTTTCTGGTTTGAAGGATAGGATGTTATAGGCGTTCAGTGGTGGGCAACATCCTTTGGCGGTCAGGCGCTGTTTGCTTTTCCAAACAGATGATAAGCGCAAGCTTGTAACGATGCGAGCGCTCACTTAGCACAAACAGACAATGCGCAATATGGACATGAGCAGGCATGGGTGGCCGTGGCTTTGGTACTGGCTGTACAGTCCACATGCGAGTTTGATGGCAGCACGTGGTCAGAGCTGTGTGCGCACCATCGTGCGCCCTTGGATCAGTGACCGGCGGCGCAATGAACTCTGCGTTGAGGCAATGGCTGCTGCTCAAAGCAAAGTTTGTGTGCGCGGTGCGGTCGTTGATGTCACGCAGCGACCAGACGCAATTTGAGCAGATCTGCTGAAGAAAACTCTAAAGTGTAGATCTCCCTGCCGCATCGGTTGGGTCTACCCTACAGGGAGGGTGCTTGACAGTAGGGGCGGTGCAGGGCGGGGATTCCGTCTTGCTCCGATTATGCGATTGGAAGCCACACTTCAGCTGGACCACCACTATCGCCCATACTGGCGGAGTGCTCTGCGTGTCGGCGTTGAGCACTGCTTGGGCATAGAATTATATCGGCCCTAAGTGGTACCACCGGTGGTGCTGGTGGTCGGTGGGGTGGGGTAGCCACCCCTGAAGCATTGACAGACGGTTCACCAATTTTAAAGTGACAAATATTGAGCCACGCATCCAATTTTTCTGGCCTGGGTGCTCACATGTGCGGGATCCGGAACCTGTTCCTGAGTATATGAGACAGCGAAGAGGATATATACATTGGTCCTCGTAGACGCTGCGCAGCTGCACTGAAAGCCGCACAAGGTACTTTCGGCATTCCTTTGTGCGGTAGAAGAGCTGCGCTTGAACTGTACTTCACTCTCGCGTTTTCGAGGCAACCACCTGGTGTGATCATGGTGTGATAAAAAAACCATTTGCAAAAAAATCCTACAGTGTTTCCAGTGAGTTTTTCATAATTTCATCTTGAGTGAATGATAGCTCACGGTTAGCTGATAGTCACTGGTTAAGTTAATCGGTCGCAGACTGATTAGCAACTGGCAGTTGTTACTGCTATGGTTTTGAGTACATTGATGTTTCCCGAATAGAATTTGGGCGTCGCTCCAGCTTGTCACGCAGACTCAGAATTGTGCGTCAACTATAGCGCCTCAGTGGGCGAACCGATACCTGAGAGTAAAATATTTGTCATCGAAGCAGCCCCAATCCGGCTTTTAAAAAGCACCTCAAATATGCAGCCTGCAAAGCCTTGAGGCTTGAGACTTTCTACCGATTCTCTTGCAGTAGTACATATTTTTCCAGCCAGGGATTCCCTACGATGGCCCAGTCGCGCCGACACACACTCTGGGCCAAACATCGATTGGATGCTGCTGTGCCCGTCATCGCCTCTCCAGGTGCGAGAGCCGTGCGCTTGTCATGTGTTTTTGACACGTGTAAATCCTGGAATTCACACACACACAGTGGGGCAATCACACGAGTATGTCAATCGTCAGCCACATTAGTCATTTCTGGCACATTTTCACAATATTTCGTATCTGCACGAAGCTTCTCTTGACACTCAGTATTTCTTCGACATTTCTGTTGCAACTCGCGTGTTCCAGCATTACTGAATTAGGTAACCACGGGCGCTCCAACACAGCGAGCCCGCGGCCACAGTGCAGCTCATCGCCGTTGTCCGTACAGCGCATCGTGACGCATGACGCAGTGGACACAATCCGTGCACCCCACTAATACCACGCCATTACTCATCCCCCGCGGCACCCGCGTTTCTGTCACCCAGGCACCGCCGGCGCAGCATGCGCTGACCCGTCAAACCCTCGCACCGCCGTTCGCCAAAAACGTCTTCTCACTCCCGCGGCCTTCCCCCCGCCTCCCGTACATAAGCCCCCGCGTCCCTGGGCGAGAACTCACGCCAAGCAGCCCCGCGCCGTTCCCACAAAGGGCGGGAGGCCAGCTGCTTGAACGGCAGCTCTTTCCAACCCCCTGCGCTGATTCGCAATTTGATCTTGCGCCAAGGCTGGCGTGTAGGTTTGGGCGTCCATCGGCGGTCGTTGCGGTCACAGCGACAAGAACGGCAACGGCTATGAGGGGCAGGACAAGCATGGAGAATAAGGAGGGCCAGCCAGCCACCGTCATGGCTCCATCAGAAGATGCAAGCCACGCCTATCCTGGAGCCTGCCCGCCGCCGAGCAGCCTTGGGCGTCCAACGCCGGTCGTCGCGGCCGCAGCGAGAAGAACGGGAACGGTTGCAAGGGGCGGAACAACGATGGAGAGCAAAGAGGGGCAGCCGGCGACCGTGATGGCTTCATCAGAAGATGCAAGTAATGCCGCTCTTGGGGCTTGCGCCCCGCCTCCGCCTGGCGAGAACGTTGACAACATCTTCCTGCAGCCCGAGAAGTCCGATGATTCCGCGGGCGACAGCAATGTCATCAAATCTTTGGCTGGGAAGGCTTCAAAGGCCCGAGCTGTGGAGAGTGAGAAGGCTACAAAGTGCGATGCTGCAGTGGTAAGGGCGAGGTGGTGGCTGGGCCTGGCGCTGGCCCTGCCCTCGATCGCATTCGCCCTCCTGTGGTGGACGTGGGCCGTCGAGACGGACCTTTCCGCGCTGTTCACGGAACCTGCAAACTTCAACGCCGGCATGCCGCGCTACGCAATTGCGGGCATGACGCTCGCTGGAGCCATGCTTTCCGGCGCCACCGTAGACGGGGGGGCCGCCGCCGCCTTCCCCTTGGCCTGCCTGGTCGGAGGGCTGGGCCCCATTGCGGGCAGGGACTTCGCCCTGATGGCGCACGCAGCCGGATTCGCATCATTCGCGGGGTCGATGGCGATGATGGGCAGGAGGCACGAGCTCAGCGCGCTGGCCTACTCCGGAGCTGGGGGGATCCTCGGAACGGTGGCAGGGCTGGAGGCCGTCGGTCAGAGTCTGGGAGCGCCGTACGCCAAAATGGCGTTCGCGTCCGCTTGGGCGGCGCTCGCCTTCGGCCTGTTCTTGCACCACAGGCGGGGCGGCAGGAGGATGGAGGACCGGGTGGGGCACATGGCAGGGATCGCGATGGGCGTGGCGTGGCGGCCCGCGGCGCTGTTTGCCTCCGGCGCCGTCGGAGGCGCTTTGACTGCGGTCTTCGGCTCCGGTGCAGACGCCGTCGCCTTCTTGGCGCTGGCGCTGTGCTTCCGTGTTTCCGACGAGGTTGCCGGACCGACATCCGTCGCCCTGATGGCGGCGAATGCTTGTACAGGGCTAATGTACAGGCAGGGGCTGGCCGGGGGGGTGGAGGAGGCGGCCTGGAGGCTGTTTTTGGCGTGCGGGCCCTCTGTGGTGGTCGGCATGCCGCTGGGGTTTGTGTTCGCTTCCTTTGTGAGGAGGTGCTTTGTGGAAGGGCTGGTCTACCTGATGGCCGTGGCGCAAATTGTGGCTGCATGGGCTGTGGTGAAGCCATGGAAAGAAGGGGATGAGTCATCCGTTTGGTTGATCCTTTTTTCGGCGGCTGTGTTGGTGGGAGGTGCCGCGGCGGTGGCCTTGCTGGACGTCGCGGGACGGAAATTGTTGGAGGTGGAGGACAGGAGGGCGGTGGAGTCGTCGATGGCGGAGAGGTGGGCGAAGAAGGCGGAGGAGGGGTCGGTGTGGCCCGCGGCGAGTTCGACATCGTTCGTCTTGTCTATCTGGAGGATACCCGAGGACGAGGGTGGGGAGGGGGGCGTCGAGCACGTGTGATGCATGGTAACAGATATTCGATGAGATATTTGGCGATATTCGGTCAGGTATTCCGTGAAATGTTCGATGAGGACACTTGATGAGACATTCGGTGAGTTATTCGGTGAGGATGTTCGGTGCGGATATGGACTGTGTGGGGATATTTTGTGATGATATTTTGTGCCGGAGAGGGAAAGGGGCGGGTGGTGTTGAGTGGGTGCGAGGCAGTGAGGAGGCTTTGCCGGCATGGATCTGAGATACTTCCGGTGTGTCCATATTTTTGGCAATATCTTCGGAACCGTTTTGGGGTGCTTGCGGCGTTTCCAGCAAGGACTGAGGTGGTTCCGATATTCTGGTAATTTGTGGATTTTCGGGGAGAGTTTGGGTACTTTGGATATCGAGGTACTTTGGGATATTTCCAGCGGGATTGGGACGTTCGAGGAGAATAAACGCGCCACGCTCTGCTGAGGGACTTGTGCTTTTAAACTTTGATTCATTTTCATTGATTTGATTTGAACATGGTGTCAATATGGGGGATGCCGTAACCATGGCTTCAGCCAAACGGATGGATTGCCGTGCTGACCGTGATGTGAGTGCCTGAGCCAAAGGCGACGATTCAACAATTTTGTTTGCGACTTTATTTGCTACGAAGGACCTTTCTGGGCTATTGCAGTAAACTACGGAGACAAAAATTACTCATTCCGTCAGATACACTGTGCCGTGTCGGTTGTACATTTCTTCCAAGTAGGTACGTGCCTCCAATAAATTACCGCCGCGCTGCCAGCCATAGATATTCTTTTAGTTAGCTCCTGGCAGCCGGCATTTCGCTGTACCGTTTGACAGATCCTGGCAGTTTCTGGGGCGCGTGCGGCAGGATAGGCGGCCAGTGAGACGACGTGTACATTGGCGCTGTATTGTTTCGATGCTCGAAAGTGACGCAGGGTGGAGCCGTCGCAATTACAGTTTGGGGCCATGAACAATGGGGAGGATGGGAATGACTCAAACTGTGAGTCTGCATGTAACATTCTGGGTTCTGCGCTGGAGCGACTTTCTGTACTTGCACGGCTTCGAATCCGTCGCCAAAGCGTTGCGGCGCTGGTCGACAGCCGACGCTGGGCCAGGGGATGTTGTTCGCCTTGGAAAGTTTGCAATTGTGGGATCCACGATTCGGTAGTGCCGGATACGGAAAACTCGGACACGGTGCCATACACGATGTGGTCATGGCAGGCCAGGCAGCTACGGTGCAGGCCAAAATCTCAAGCAAGTCCATTGGCAAGGACAATGTACTCCGCAGCATGAGCGCCGATTCGCAAATTCGAGGGCATCGCGACTGTACGCGCACACTCGTCTGCAAGAGGCGCCCAGTCGCCCTGCAAGGGACGCCGCAAAGGCAAGGACGACCGTCAAAGTGTGCACTCCCAAAATTCTCAGCCGCCAGCAACGCACCAATCCCGAATTCCCGCGTCTCCTCCCCCGTCACGCCCGCCAGCAGCAGCTTACCAAAATGCCGCTAGCGCAGCAGCGAACTTGCAAAAACTGCACCTCGGCTTCAATGCTGCCTTCCCGGGCCTGCATTCCAGCTTGCAATCACTAACTACCGACTGTTGCATCCTTCCCCAATTGGATTGAATTCTTAACGGCCGCACAAGGCCTTGCACCGAGAAAATTGGCACAAGCAAGCACCCCCGGAGAATACTGCGCCCTGCGGCAGTCTGCCCCAGGAGTTGCTTACAGTCGCATCATGCACACTGCCGCCACCATCGCCCTGCCTCCCTGCCGCGCCCACCATGACCATCCACAGGCCCCATCCCACCGCTGCAAGGCCGCCATCGACTTCCTCCCATGATGGGAGTCCCATCATTTGAGCAGCAACAGCGGCGTGCCGGACATCACGGCCCCACCGTTCTCCACCAGGAACTTCACCACCTCCCCCGATGAGTCAGCCTCGATCTCATTCATGAGCTTCATGGCCTCCACGATACAGATCGTCTGGCCCGCCTGCACCTTGTCTCCCTCCTTGACAAAGCTGGGCTCGCCGGGCGCTGGCGATCGGTAAAAAGTGCCCGCCATTGGCGAGGTCACCTCCCGGCCGCCCTCCGCTGCGCCGTTTGCGCCTGGGGTGGCCGGGGGCGGTGTGGCAGGTGCCGGGGCGGCAGTGGTGGCAGCGGGGGGTGGGGTTGCAGGGGCAGGGGCTGCTGGGGCTGGAGGCGCCACGGCAGCGGGTGTGTAGGCCTTGCAAACGCAGATGCACAAAATTCTGAGGTTTATCGGAGTGGTCTTCATTTGTCTTCCCCAGCTTGTTGCATTGAATAACATGGCATTTCACAAATCCAAAAGAGTAGAAATCCGGACGACACTGTTATCGTTCTCCTGCTTTCTTCAAAAGTTTCATGTGTCTGAAGGTTCTTCTTTTCCTTCCATTCGTATTCTCTGCCCGCCAGCACCAGTACTATTCCGTGGTGGGGGGGTACAAAACCACCACGGGAACAGTCATTGAGACTTGTATATATGCACTGTATCCATGGATCCAAACAGCTTTCCAGCACGGCCAAACAGGCAAAAACATAACACTTTGTGTAAAAAAGCTTGTTGGATTTCAACAAACAGCACATCAGACACCGTTTCGCCCTAATTTGCTATTGCGGCACACAAGCAATGAAGGCACCAGCGCTTGTCTTCCCAGCACATTGTTGCCCAGGATTGATTCAAGGGTCCCAATGTCCAGGAGACTCACTGGCATTGGGGGAGCAGCGACTTCCTCCAGCGCCTCCTGCTTCTTGACAGACAGGTTGAATCCTTTGCGCTTGAGCTCCAGTTCCACGATGTCCGATTCGTTCACCATCCTGAACCACTCTAAATTGTCAATCCAATGATCATACACTGCCCATCCTGAATCAGTTTTAAATGTCAATCCTTTGACCACACTTTGGCCATCTCGAATCGATTCGAAATTTCAAGGCTTCTTTCACCGCATTTCTCGATCATCGCAGAATGCTCATCATGAGCGATGGCACTTCCATTTCCATGGCACCTTCAGGGCAGCAAAGGGAAGGCGATATGACCACACCTGATGATATTCGTGAGCTCATCGAAGTTCAGGCTCTCAGGCTCTGCCTCAGAGGCATTCCCATTAGCATTCACCTCCTCAGAAACTGCACGACTTGGGAGGCGCCTGATCCTCCCCTGTGGCTGCTGTTGGCACAATTGCTGTCACATCAAATAGTGCCCACCGCTTGGGAACTTTTGAGTCAACGGCTGCAGATGGCAGAAGGGCGAAGACGCTTTGCATACAAGTTCATGGCAAAAGTGAAGCAGGGGTTTTCTGAGTTCATGAAGGGGACAAGGTGCCAATGCACAGCAGATCATCTTGCTACTGAAAGGCAAATTTCACCCAAGAAGGCGATGATGGGGTGCTATTTGCCTCCAGTCAGAATTGCCAGGGCTGGTGACAGATAGTCCATACAGCCCACATATGAAACATACAACCAAGTTCACCAATAAACAAGCAAATGGCAACAAAGTTACAAAAGCAGTAAGGTCCAGTTGCGCATCACACCATTGACTCATCCATAAAATGTATCCAACAGGTCAACGTGCATGCGGGCATGACTCTGTCATCAACTTCCTACAGCTGGATCCAGGGCAGCAATCTGGACCCACAAAAAGATTCACTGATCCAACGACAGTGTCTGAGAGGTGCAGCATTCTAGGTAAGGTGTATGAGCGCGGGATATGTGGCAGGCATGGACGTCATTTTTTTGGTGGGTGTCTGCAGGGTTTGGTATAACCAATTAAGTGCGCAATTGTTGCCAGCATCATGGACTCTTTTGCTTTGTGCCCACAAAACCCCAAAAACCAATCTTTCAAGAGATTACAGTTTTAGGCAAAAAATGACTACAGAAATAACAAGAATGTCAGGTGCACCTGCTGCAGCCACACAGACATAGCCATGGTGGTCCCTACTATTATAGGAGGGTGATGACTGGGGGAAGAAGTAGGGCAAACATTGACAAAGAGATGACTGGCAAAGGGCATGCATTGGCAAGTGGAGAATTTCAACACTACAAGGTGGCTTTAGATGGGCGTAAGTGAAATTTGTGGTTCACGAAACTGGAAGCAACAGCAAAAGAACGGGATTGGAAGCGCATGGATCGGGCCCAAAGTCACTGTCCCGATTTTGCCTCAGCGCTTGCGGCATTAAAGACCTCTGAAGATCGCGGCACTTCGGAAGACTAGCAACTGGCCCTTTTCCCAAGGCGTGCTCTGGAAGAGGCAGGGAGCAGTCAACGGGTGCCAAGGCCCGTTCGCAAAGTAAGTCCCACTTCCTCTGAAAAAGGCGGGAGACAAGCAATGCAGGCGCCGCTTGGGAGTGGGGAACCGCCGATTAAGGCGCCATACGCCTGAGGGTGGCAGTGATCAGCAAGTGCGGCGGGAAGAGCGCGCAGGCGATGGCCGGCAGGCGATCTGCGCTGGCGCAGATGGCACTCGACGGGAATGGAGGGCACCATCGCCCCACGAAAGCGCACAACGTTTCAGCACGTGCTGCGCGGCGCCCGGGATCTGTGGCAGGCGCACGCGACGAAGCCGGGGGTCCTATCCAGGGTTTGAACTGACAACCTGGTGCCCTGTGGGAGGTTTTGCACCTCTGAGTTCTCAAGAGCCAAAGTCAGCCGTCCCCGCTGCACTCAACGGCCCCCCATCTCCCAAAGGCCGCAAGACGACCAAACACCTCCGGCCAACTCCAAGGGGCCAAGATCCGCCCCGCAAGAGAAAACCCGGCAGTTGGGCGCTGGCCGACACCCCACAGCGCAGCCAATCCTGGCACAGTCGCCATCAGCACGGTCGCCATCAGCTTTCACAGTACAGAAAGCAGCTTGACGAGAGTTCATGCCAAGGACTTGGGGTGGCTGGTGCACGCCATGTTTCCCGCCTTCCCGTCCTGGGGCCAACATTCCCTTAGGCAAACAAGACCCAAAAGGAATGCCTGCCCCATGCAGGCCCATTACACATGTCAGCGGAGCGCCACGCGCCAAAGATTCCCACCCCGATTCCCCCCCGCCGGTGGCGCGTCACCCCCCCGCGTGACGCACCCGCATCCCCTGCATGACGCTCCGCGCGCCGCCCATCGGGCCCCTCGCCGCCAGGCCGACCGCCAGCCCGGCCGTCTTGGACGCCGCCGGCATGCCCATGCCTAACCGCTTCGCCGTCAAAGTTGCCCTTGAGGAGTCTGAAACCCTTTGTGGGGCTTAAGAAGGAGAAGGGGGAGGGGCTTGAGTTGGGGGAGGGTTGGTCGATAGGGAGGAAGGGCGTGGGAGTGGGCGATGGGGGTGACTGTCCGCCAGCGATGACTTGAAATCTGGTATGGGAGGCTGGGGTTTGGGAAAAAGGGGAGCCGGAAAAAAAGGGTGAAAAGTGTGGGGAAAGTGGCGGAAAAATGGGGGAGAGGGTTGGGCATGAGGAGGATTGGGGGCGGAGAGAGGGGGGAAGGGAGCGGAAAGGGGCGGCAAAGAAGCGGGGCGGCTACGGCTGAAGAGGGGTTTCTCAGCTGGGTCGCGCCTGTGGGCTGTGGACTGGCTACGATCGGTGACCCTTGGGATGCAAGAAGGCAGCCGTCGTCCACAACTGTGCACCACAATGTACAAACATGGCTTGCGGCACTTTCTAAGAGCATCTTCATCGGTCGGTGCTATTTCACCGGCGAAGCTATCCAGGAACGGTTCTCATTGGCTGCCGTGCCGCCTTACTAAGACGGCATTCGCGGAATAGCGCCGGTGCTATTGCTCCCCTGCGCGCATCGGCAATGGTGGGTGCTGTGCCTACGCCGAATAGCATCATGGCAGCACTACAATGTTCTGCGCGAATAGCACCGGTGCTATTCTGGGGTGCTGTTCAGCCCCGAGCGGTGCTGTTCGGGGCCAAAATGGCGCCGCTCGGCGCCGAATAGCTCCGGGTTGCTATTGGGGTGCTATTGCTCCCCAACCGTTAATGATGGCTTTTTGACGTGCGGTGCTATTCGGATAGCCGAATAGCTCCGCCGGGACAATAGCACCCACTGATAAAGATGCTGTATGGTTGTGGCTTACGTTTACAGCAGCATTTACGTTTATGTTTTTTGTCGTAAATATGTGTTAACACAGAAACGGCCATTTGTATGCCAATATTGACAGGTTTTTATGGCACGTTGAGACACCCAGGTTAGGGAAGGCACTAAGTCGAAAGTGGTACCCTTAGCGTCAGTTTGACGCCAAGGGGTGGGTGGGTGGATTCTGAACCAGTGACGCCAGGAGATTATGTAATTGACACAATTTCGACTTAAGGCCTGAAGATACACAAAACCCGGTTGATCCAAGGCTGACGGGCCGTGACTTGTTCCAAAACCCCCTCAATCGTTCAAACTTGAATGAAGACCCCATAATAAACCAAATAGACAGCCATCGGGGCTGCCCCAATCAACTGAAATGGCAAATGCCATCCCGGTTTCAACGCATTGCAATCACTACAATTTGTTTGTTTATGTTCCTTGAAAACAACTTGAGATTGTCTACATCTGCTATGTAAGGTTGCTGAGTCATCTTGGCATTGACATAAGGATTGACGCTCAGGAGGGGGTGGGGGGCGGGGTGGGTAAGATTCGTTACAAAAGAGAAAGAGAAACAGGCCATACAAAGGGCACCCCCTCCTAGGCAAGTGTATGTGAGGTTCTGTTCCATGCTATGAAAAGATGATATAGAGCCTCCGAAGGGGGTTGCAGAAGTTAACATTCATTCTTGTGCACCTCAAATCTTCTTGTCCCACCACAGGTGAGCAGTGCCGGCTGTGTCGCCCTCCCACCCCTTGGGCACCCATAACACAGAGTCCAGCTCGTCGTTGCAGGGGGAACGACATCGTCAAACAAAGGTCGTTTTCTGCTCACTCCAGCGAATCTGGCTGCCACTCCCCGGACTCCTTGAATCTGTGTGTGCGAGCTTTCTGTACACAGGGCCTGTATTTACGCATTTTGCGCGCTTTTGCCCGTACCACCAGTGAGTGGGACCTCACGGGTTGCAGAGTCCAACTGTGGCATGCGTTCTTCCACCGTGGCTCGTTCTGCCAGTTCATGCTTGGTGCGTGAGCACCGTGGATGCCTCAGACGCGGAATCGTCACTTTCGCTGCGGGGCTGGGCCTCGCCTTTCAGGCGTTGCGTTACAAAGACTTAGACCCGGAGTAAACGCATATAAGTGCTGGCAAAGTTGCTCAAGTCGTGCTCATATTTGATGCCACCGATTGTGGCATACAAGGCAGACTGGCACACTGAGTGTGTCCTGCCGAGCCAAGTGCTGCGACAGGTGCAGAAGTTCGTTCTGTCCAACGGGCAAAGTGCCCCTAGATTTGACTCAGCCACAATTCCTTCCCATTCTGAGTCGAAAATCACCGGTTGCAATGGGCAGGGCCATCATGCTCCATCATGGATCTCCCCGTGTCCTTGCTCATCCCTTGGCCCGACCAGGACCTTGGTGCCCACTTCCGTCGCCAACCATATTTCGGTACGTTGTGTGGGGCCCGGTTAAAAGCGTACGGTATATGCATCGCAATGTTTTCCGGAGCCCAGTCCCTCGCCATTGGCTTCTTTCCCTGCCAGTGGCCACCAGCAACTTTGGCCTGTTCCGGCCGTAGGCTGTTCGCGGCTCTCGCCCCGCGGGTATGCGAACTGGAATCAAAAGCCTCTGTGTCGCAAACAGAGGCCTGACAACATCGACCTCGAAAACTTCGGATTGACGCTGTCGGCCTCCTTGCCGGTTCCTGGCGAAAGGCCTCCCTGGAATTGACGAGATGCTGCCAGACCCGATTGGGCCGGGGTCCGC